TTGCCTGTGACAAAATTTGTGCATCTCAGGCGGTTGAGCAACAGTTATTTCAAACACTGCCTTAAAGGTCAAGTACGGTAAAAATAGATCTTAAAAATAATGTTTATAATTCATTAAAATCATTAAATGAAAGTTTATGGTGTGTTTGTTTAAAAAAAAAAATCCAGATATAGACGCAAAATACCTGTTCAAATATCGTTATTCATAGACATGGGCGATAGAGTTATCGCTCTTTTTCATGACGTCATCAGAGACAATTGCTGTATAGGCGCTATTCTATAAACAGGCAATAACTGAATAAAATGAATAGTTTTAACGATGAACCGTGTTATTGACAGTAAACTCGAAGACATACTTGAGCAATTAAGTTTGAGCCCATTACGAAGCAATCAGAATATGTAAGGCCTGCCTACATGGATATGTCATCGAAGTTAGAATCCGAGAATAATGAAAGTAAATCGGGAAGGTCTCCAAGAAGCAATTATTTGTTGTATTTTTTGTATTGAAAATAAATTAAAAACATATATTCAAAAACGTTCAACATGAAAATCGAAACTTAAGCGCAATTTTTTGCATCTATGTAATATACATTGTTTTGTTTGTTAGATTACTTATTGATAAAATTCTCTAAATATCAATAAATCAGCTGGCATTGACTTTATTGGGCCGCGTCTTCTAAAAGTCGCATCCAAATATATATGTAAACCTATAACTCATCTTATTAATGCTAGCATAGTAAGTGGTATTTTCCCGACAAATTTAAAACAAGCCAAAGTAACACCTATATTTAAGAAAGGTGACAAAGCTGACCCAAATAATTATCGTCCCATTTCTATTTTACCAACTATATCTGAACTGATAGAAAAACATGTAGCTAAGCTAATACAAAACTTCACTAATGAATTTGATCTACTAACACAATCCCAGTCGGGATTTAGGGAACTCCATTCTTGTCAAACTTCACTTACAAAACTAACAGAAAGTTGGCTTAATGCAATGGATTGTGGTGAACTAATCGGCATTACATTTATAGATTTTAGTAAAGCTTTTGATTTGGTGAATCACGATATTCTTCTAGAAAAATTAAATCATTACAAATTTGACCAAACAGCTATAAAATGGTTTAAGTCATATCTTTACGACAGGACCCAGTGTGTTAAATTTGGAACATGTGTCTCCAATATTCAACCCGTCACAGCAGGAGTGCCACAAGGGTCAATTCTGGGCCCTCTTTTATTTTTATTGTACATAAATGACCTTCCACTACATGTAAACAATTCAAATATTGATATGTTTGCTGATGATGTTACTCTGTATTCAAATAATCATAATGCACGATGTTTAGAAAATACGCTAAATGCAGATCTTTGTGAGATTGAAAAATGGTGTGCTCAAAATCAAATGGTCTTAAATGTAGATAAAACAAAATGTATGTTAATGGGAACACAGCAAAGAAAATCAAAATTAGATAATCCAAATTTACAACTTTATGCCTCAGACAAAACAATTGAAATTGTTGAAACTGGAAAAATTCTTGGTGTACATATAGATGATAAGTTACAGTATGCAAATCATATTGACTCAGTTTGTAAAACGGTTAATTATAAGTTATTTACGCTTCGTAGGATTAAGAAATTTCTCCCTCTTCATACCAGGAAACTTTATTACAACGCTTATATTTTACCATCTTTTAACTATTGTTTGACCGTTTGGGGTAATGCCCCCAAGCAGGACATGGACAGACTATTTAAATTACAGAAAAGGGCAGCAAGGATTATCCTTGATGCAAGTCCTGATTCTTCTTCTAAACCACTGTTTGAGAAACTTGGGTGGTTAACAGTTTATGAACTAGTTGATCTATACAAATACATATTATTATACAAAATTTTCAGTGGAATGACTCCCGAATATTTTCGTAATTTATTTGAATTTCAGTCTTCAACTTCTTATAACCTGCGATCCGAAACTAATTATGATCTAAGATTACCAAAATTTCGTACAAACTTATTCAAGACCTCTTTTCAGTATTCAGGTGTACATCTGTGGAATAAACTTCCCCAACAGATTAGATTCTCTCATTCTCTACGAACATTTAAGCGTAATGTGGAAAATTACATTATCAGCTGTCGTACAATCATTTGAGCATAATGAGAGTTCAATATCGTATATTGTACTGTTATTGTTAAGATGTGTCTGTATTTGAACACTCTATTCATAATTCAGTGATTGTAATTCTCAAACCTATATAACATGTGCTTAATTGTATGTGATTATGATGATTTGTATCTTGATGAAGTGTATATATTTTGTATTTGATATATGTACATATATATAGAGGGCCCTGGGGAAGAATAGTGCATGCACTAACCAGGTTACCTTCTTTAAATAAAGTTTTATTATTATTATTATTATTATTATTATTATTATTATTATTATTATTTGAATGTTGTAATGACACCGTAAAAGATTTTAAATGAATACACAAAGAAAAAAACATTAAAACATCACCAGCTCTTTGCTAATCGATGCAAATGAAATGGGGGTTTTCTTAGCGAAGCTTTTTCAATCTTAGTCCCCGGGTAGTACAAAACTTACGAACAAACGTATAGCTATTTTTCCGAATAGCAAAGACCCTATCACTGCCCGCCTTTGATATATGATTGTTTATTAGTTGAATGATTGTGGAGAATATTATCCTTAACTTACTAATAAATCTTTAGAAGATCGCATGTGTGTGACAGATTGGTTCCTCTGCTGTTTATGGAGACTCAGGTATGTGCATCAATAAAATTACTAAATTTAAGTGGGACTTATCCAACTTTATTTTTAACAAAGATGAAAAGTGACGTTGTTTTAGACACTTTGACGTTATCATCTGTGCGCCGTTAGGCAATACAATACATAGCATAGAATCTCATTATTTGTTTGTTTATAAATGCATATATCTATTTGAACTTGCTTTGTATATAATATATGTACTAAAGAGTTGTAAAAAAATTCAGAATGCAGTGATGATTATTTTGCACACTAGACAACTTGTCCATGATTTAACCGGACAACTCTCGTATTTGAGTTGACATTCCTACATGCACCATCCACGCAAGTTTTTTGGTGGACAAGTGCTTATAGCAACTCAGCTTCATTCAAAAACCTTAACCTACTTTTCAACGTTTAACTGTTCATTCTTTTTGCAGAAAAGGCAGCTATTCAAAGCTAACTGTTGACAAAGAAGCATACTAGTTCTAATCAAATAGATATATCAAAAGCTACACCAACTTTGTTAACCTAGAACTTTAACTTTGAAATTGGCGACGAATGGAATATGGAGGTTTCAGATTGCCTTTCGTTTGACGTGTATGTAATCATTCAGTCAGATCAAGTAACCAGGTGCTTTTAATTTTAGATAATACTAGATGAAATCCCATGCACGCGCGAGGAAAATTAATTTTTTTTAACGCTAACAGAACTATTCCAAAAACTATTTTTCAGATTCTATTAATATTGACAGTTTATTTACAGGAATATATTTTAAAGTCCCGCAATTATTTAAGGAACAGAAATAGATAATTATAAGAATTATATTTCCTAATATTCTTTGGATTTATTTTACTTCTACAAATATCAATTTCATTAAACACGTTAAAGGCCTCTTCTTCTTACATGTTATAAAGCAACTTTATTCTGTTGTACTATGCACTACATATAAATTATTGAAAAAAAATCTTAGTTTTCATCCAAAATGTACATACAGGCCTATGAGGTATAAATAAGTTTTAAAGATAAAAGACTTCGTGTAGAAAATAACTGAAATGTATTCATCAAAGAAAGCATTTAAGTAAAAATTATTTGAAAATCAAACTGAACCATTTTATAGCTCATTTCATTTTTATCACTTATATCAAGTTTTGATTGAATAATTCATAAATGACGTTTAATGAAATAAATAAGCGCTTGCTTGTTGTCAGTTTTTTTTAAATGCCAGTTACTTAGATCTGCCTCCACTTTTTTTTCTCTTCAGTGCTTCGAGGCTCTCATTCGAAAACGAAAGTAGACTTTTGATCAAATTTACGATAAAACTTTGCAAATGAAATCTGTATATGTAGTTTACGGACTTCACCTTATACCTAGTGTATTCCTACAGGCTCTAGTAAGAGCTCTTGTTGCAGTCGTTTCAGGTTTTATTTGCAAAAATTGTTAATTTATAAGTATAGACATCTTGTATGCGATATTTTTCGTCGTATTTTACGATATTAATTTACAAAAAATTTATGTTTATTTACTCGGTAAATAAAGGTGAAGTAAGTGTTTCTCAAGCAATTAATTTTCTAAAAAGCAATTTTTAAAGGTACATCGACTTGGTAAATACATGTATATACTTCACCTGTAGGTACGGTGTAAATCCCTTTTATATTTAGAGATGAAATATCGATATTAAAAATATTTATCTTTAATTCAAAATCATTTTGAAGAAATAAATTGATTTTAAAAAAAAGTAGACGGTCAGATGAAGTGAAAAAAGTACAAAATTATCTGTGACTCCCTCTCCCTTTGAACTCATGGTTAAATCAGAAAGATCAGTCACTTGGAGAAAAAAGAATTGTCAGTAATTAAATCATTTCATCCCATCTCCTAAAAAAAACATTCGTACGCATGGATTCTTCCCCTCCCGAACAAGATCCTATATATTCGTTAGGTTCGTTATTGCAGGGTATGGGAAAGAGGCACCCTAGTTTTCTTTTATTTTTTTTTAAATTTTTTTTTTATTATTATTTTTTTGTTCCACATATGAATTAAGATTTTCGATGACTGGAGGAACTGAGTGCTACGTTTATGATTATTTCGGCCCTTCCAAAGTCAAAGTCACCTCTGAGTACATTGCAGTGAATGAAAATTTTGCATATCATGCAAATGGCATTTGCACATTGTTGAACAGCGTAAGTAGGGTGGAAAATTTTACCAACCGTGAAATAGGACTACTGGCTACGGGCAGAAAACATCTTTTATGGTGGAGCACTGCTAATAGTCGACGTTTGTGATTCAGGTAAATATAAATATATTTGGAATACGTAATAACAAACAATTTTACAGTTTGCGTTTTCTTTACAGGCCTAACTCGATCGATAAGATCGATATGTTTATTTAATTATGGATATAGGGATATATAAGTTGACTGAGGTTATGTACACTGAAAAAAAAAACAAGTGAAAGTCACTGGGAAGACTAGTAAATTTACTGTCCATACAATCACTACCTTAAAAGTAGTTTTTCTAGGTATTGGGAAGATTTACTAGATAAGATTAGTAAATCTAAGAATTTCTAAGTAACTTTCACTGGGAATCTAAGTATCTTTACGACAACTACTCCACGTTTCACTGTGTTAGCTAATACACAGAGTGATTACTTATCACGAAGAACGCTTTACTAGGCACACTAGTAATTCTCTCAGTGTAAGGAAAAATAAACCTGCATATAGTTCAACAATCAAACCTTTTAAATTTATTCTTTAAGGAAATAAAATACTGATAAGGAACTTATTCATGTATTCTAATCAGTTCCACACTACACCTAGCATATTTTTTTTAGATCTTTTAACAGGGTAAGTGATTGCAGGTAAGATTATCCCTGTAAAATAAAGGTAAACTTAGAAAATATTCTATACCTTGTACATAATTTGCTGAATGAATGTTTTCCGTTTAATGACAACCCGATTACTTTCTTAATGAACAAAGTCTGAGTTTTATTGAATTTTGCAGGATAACCTCTGAGGTAGAGAAATGTTTTTTTAAAAACCTTTTTTTTATTTCAATTAACATTTTAAGAGCGAGGAAGTTATTTTGCATCATTTACGACAAGGACTTTATTTAAATTCTACTATCAGCTATAAGATACGGCTTATCGTTTCTTCTATAGAGAGAAATAGGAATTAGGTCACCTTGTCGCAATAACGCTGTTACATTTATCACCAGACACCAGACGGTATTATGTGTTTGTTTATATGCACCTGTGTATGAAATGCAGACGATTAGAGCTTTCCTTGCATTAAAAATAGCCTTTTATCTTATAAATTATCAACTTGTTTGAAACATATATTGATAACATAAGTTTTACGAATGTACAATAGCAAAATCAATTTTCTTTATGACAGCTTTATCACTAAAATTGCCGAGATTAAATGGTAAAGGGAGGTCCGTGGAACAGCCACGCCAGACTATAAAACCTTACATTCATAATCTACTTTATGAAATATACAGTATTTAGACTGCAAAAGACAACACATCAATGTGATCTAAATACTGTTCAGCATGAAATTAAGTCGCAAAGTAATATTTACTAAATTCACTCGAACTAAGCTCTTTTCACAGCAAAGAGTGAATGTATGATCCAAAATTCAACTAATTTCAAATCCCAAATATCCATTGTTTGAAGTTCACATTAAAATGAGTTTTAGCTTATATAAACATTTTAAGATCGCGAAAGATCATAGAAGACAAAAATTATTTTTCAGGAGATATTTGATTCTAGAAAGGAGGGGGTTAAAAATTGTCGAGTCAGGTCATGGCTTAATATGACAATACATTTTATTTCTAGGATCATAAGAGTGCATGAGTTTTATACTTATCCTCACTGAAAAATGTTGGACAACTTTATTTGAAAATCGTACAGCCCCCCCCCCTTCACCAACACAAAGATATACATATATTTACCAAACAGATATGAAATATTTGTCCCTTAAAAAGTAATTCATTTTAAACACTGGAAAAAAATTCAAACTGTACCAAAACTGTACCAAAATTTGAATTATTTGTCTTCTTGGTCAATCAGTAATAATGTGCCTTCTAGCGTAGCTGAGGTGGATTGAAAATGAATTTTGATCTGCAATTTCAATTCGATGTTTTCCCCACGTCCGCGTCGAATTGTACCCGCCCATTTCATTGTCTATCACTGAATGTTTTGATTGTAACAGATAGAAATGCCGTAAGCTGTATATTTCCAATTTTGCCAGTTAATGTTCCGCGGTCTTATTGTATGTTTCACTTAAACATGTTTTCAGACCTTTCTGAATAAACAAAAGAAGGATGGGGTTTATGGAGGGGGTAATCACAATATACTCTATCTCCGCTTTTGTGATAATCAACGGCGAAAATTGAGCCTAAATAGCGCTTTTTAGCTCACCTGAGCCGAAGGCTCAAGTGAGCTTTTCTGATCATAATTTGTCCGTTGTCTGTCGTCGTTGTCGTTGTTGTTGTTGCTGTCGTCGTAAACTTTTCACATTTTTATCTTCTTCTCAAGAACCACTGGGCCAATTTCAACCAAACTTGGCACAAAGTATCCTTGGGTGATGGGGATTCAAGTTTGTTCAAATGCCATTTTCCACGGGGAGATAATTATGAATTAGATAAAAATTAATGGCATTTTAAAAAAATCTTCTCCAGAACCGCTGGGCCAGGAAAGATGAAACTCATGTGGAAGCATCCTCAGGTAGTGTAGATTCAAGTTTGTTCAAATCATGACCCCCGGGGCAAGGATGGGGCCAAAATGGCTGGCCCTAGTTTTACATAGGAATATATAAGAAAAATCTTTAAAAATCCTTCTCAATTACCACTGGGCCAGGAAAGATGAAATTCATGTGGAATCATCCTCAGGTAGTGTAGATTCAAGTTTTTTCAAATCATGACCCCCGGCCCTGGGGATAGGGTGGGGCCAAAATGGCCGACCCAAGTTTTTACATAGGGATATATAGGGAAACCTTTTAAAATCTTCTTTTCAAGTACTTCAAAGCTATGATTAGTGATACCCGGGGTATTTATATGGAATCATCCTCAGATAGTGTAGATTCTAGTTTGTTCAAATGATGAACGCCTGGAAGGGGGGGGGGAGTAAATTCAAGCCCGATGTGCTCAGGTGAGCGCTGTGGCCCCTGGGTCTCTTGTTTCTAAAATCGTCCGTAACGCGGGAAGAAAAAATGTAATACCTTTTTCAATGATAAATTCTTGTTTAAGGTAAGTCATTCCTGATATTTGTTAAATCAAGGATTTTTTGAGAAGTATATTTTGGATAAGTAATCATAAAGTGCAACTCAAAATAGCAAAGAAAATAGGGGGTCAGTGTGCATCCTACAGATCTACGGTACAAATAAGTTGTCCTTTTTGCACTTAAATTTCATCTCTTTGGTAAATTACTTAAACCCTTATCATATTTTATCAGATGTAAGCATGGCAATAAATATATTGTTATTTTACGTAAAACAGTTTGAATAAAATTTATCATTAAACAAATTTTGCAAATTAATACGCGTAAATTATTGTGTGACCTTTTTGCACTTAAAGATTACATATTAGGGATATTAAAAAACGAAATAGGCAATAAAACCTTTTCTTATATAAGACTTTTTACGACTTGAGTGTTGATCAGTGACAAGTATCGAGTAGTTTAAAGTAAGAAAAGAAAAAGGTGGGGTCAGTGATGTTAATTTTGAAATATTTGTCAAAATATGTGATTTTCAGGCAAAAAATGATGTAAATTGGATCTTGACTTCTATAATATTTTTTTCATTTTTTGGAAAAGTTTGTTGAGGGAAGTTGTAAAACTTAATCTAAAAATATATAAATTTAGACCTATATTAAATATTTTTAGCAATATTAAAACGGAAAATATTCTCCGAGTAAAATTATGTGAGGCTAAATTTCCATTACATTAGATTTTATAAATGTGAGGATTTGCAGATTTTTCTGCTAAATATCCTTCCACCAAAAGAAATAGTCCCTCATAAATCTTTCTTCTTTGTAGAGTTTTGATAAGATTTTTCGTTGAATGTTAAAAAATTAAATTGTTGAATTTATATATGTTATAAAAATCGAATTTTAATAAGTAGTTTTTAAGTAAAAGCTTCTGCGTAAACTTTTCTAAAAAGCTGACGAGTGACATACCTTTAAATGCTATTTACATGTAACACGAACAATTGACCAATCTTTGATTGAATAGCAACGCCTAATAGTCAACTATTATATGTTTTCATTTTGTTTCAACACGTGGTCCAGGTCATTAATATGATTTTAAATGGACTGTTAAAAACATTTAAATAAATTATTTTTTAGGGAAAAAATACCATGATTGGAGAAAAAAGAATAGATGTCAGGTCCTTTTTAGTGGCCATTAGTTACACTTTTTCAAATTTTTCTACATCAGTTTAAGAGCAACAATCCCAGACAACTGAGGAATATCAAGTGTAGGTCTTACAAATGTTATATACATATAGGTATACTAGCATTGCTAATGCAATATTTTCAGGATGCTTAATTGTTCATACTGTAAAATTATGTTATAGCAATAAAGACAGGCACTCCAGTTTTTTTTTTGTTTAGCCTCTATGCAGAGTGTACTTTATTTAAAAAATACAGAACAGATATAAAGTTACAAGCTTGTTGTAATTTTTCTATAAAGACTGGTTATAAATAAACCTATAAACTCGTAAAAGGATATTTTGTATACGGAATTTAAAGTAGTTTTTATACGTTAAACACTATTTTGGGGGCATATTTCTTTCTCTTAACGACAATTTTTTTCAACAATGAAAACCAGTCATCTAATATACATCACATACGTTTATAGAACATTTTGTACAATTCGTCCATTTTACATTCATATTCTACATAAAAAGCAAACAATCTTGCACAACATGCACTGCAAACTGTTTTTGCCCAGTTATAAAGATGATAAAGTATGCTTTAAATCTCATACGTATTTATACGTAGCCTATATTTAAGTATCCGAATTAACGAAGTCGAGTCTGATTATTTCTACCCTAGGTATTTCGATTATTTTTCTTTAATTAAATTTTACTTTTTTATTTGTTGTTTTAAAATTAAAAAATAGAATGCTTACTATCCCCGATTTCTTTGGGGGTCATCTCAAAAGTTGTCAATATTTACTATTGGACCCTATGGAAGTTTGTTGGAAAAGCGCCAAATTATCAAATTCGATGGAATTTTTTTTTGTATTTCTGCCCTAGAGATTTCTTCTTCACTCAAGTAGATGAAAGTTATTGTAAAAAAAAATCACCAAATTATAAAATTTAAAAACAACCTGACCATCTAGATTGGTCTGTGTCTTAATTACAGAGTTTAATTTTTTCGATTCCCAGTAACTCTAAAACTGCCAATATTGATACAGATGAATTATAGGCCCAGATAATTTTGTTTTGGTACAAAATACCTATATTTAGATAGTAGCTATGTTTTTTTCTGATGTTCTGACATTAGTTTTTAGTAAAATATCCATGGACGTGTACGAACATATAAGCGAGTCATAAGCCATTCTTCAGCGTCATGCATTGCTTACAAAATCGGAAAACAGTTACGACGTTAGAGCCATTTCAGCGTGTTTTCCAATTATATTGTAAAATCACATTTTCATTCCGGTAGGTATTTCAGATAATGTGAATTTTATATAAAAATAACAATATTTTGGAAAGGTGTACTGTCGCACTTATGACTGTGTAAAATTAAAAGGCTGCGCAAAAGTCATGCGCACTCGAATTAGATTCGGCCTCGTTTAGAATGTTTTCGTGTCAAGCAATACCAAAATACCGAAAAACGCATAGTGATATTCATACAATTTACATTAATTATGCTGTTTTCATAATCTCCATTATTTATTATTCAAATGACAGCTGACTTACAATTTTCAGAAAAGTATTACACGAAAATCAATTGAGCAAATATGCTGTATAACTGACATTTTAAGCAATATCCAGATTTACTTTTCTGAAGTTTGTAATTGCATCACAAATTATAAATAATGCAATTTTACTTATTTACGAATGATTACTATTTTGATTATGATTTGTTACATTTTCTTGCACATGATAATTCCAAACATTATTTGTCGTCAATGAAAATGAATTAAAAAAGTCGGATATTAGAAACATATATTAAAACCCCATTTTCATGAATTTGTCTCAATGAAATTTAGTTGTAAGTATAGAATCTTTATATTTTGATTTCTAGCGTGGTTGAAACATAAGTAAAGTCAAGATGTCGCAATCAAGAACCACGTCGTTGAAATCAAATGCAGAGAATTCTTCAGACAGCATTGATGAGGTATTGTATAGTCGTGAAACAGATGCATGTTAAGAACCAAGCGGCGCATCCATACTTTCTGTTTATTTTCATGCTTTAAAAGTGTATGTGAAAAAATCTTACAGGCAATGGACACAATATACCGGTATATGTGTATGAATTAAATTATTAATAAGTATTAACCATTGCAAATAATTTTTCAAACAGGTTTCTCGGAAACACTGGTTGAATAAAAAATGAATAAAGTGCCCAAGTGGCACTAATACGTTTTTGATATTCACAGCTCCTTTCAGCTAGTATACAAAATTCAGGATATTAAATGCTTGCCCAAAGAGTAAAAAACACAGAGTAAAAAAACTCAGAGTTAAAAACACAGAGAGTTTACGATAGATTTTAATAAAGAGATTTTGTGCATTCAATTAATACATGTCAATTTTGATGGAAAGATTGATTGAATGATTGGTTGATGATTGTATATTGTTTAACGTCCCTCTCGAGAATTTTTAACTCATATGGAGACGTCTCCGTATGCCTGTGAAGGGCTTCAAATTTTGACCTTTACTCGGCACTCAGAGCCATTGAGCAGTGAGGGATCTTTTTCGTACGAATGCCTGCAGCTGACACGAGGTCTTGGTTTTTAAGGTCTCATCCGAGGGACCCGCACCTTTCACTTCAAAATGCCGAGCGCATGGCGAAGGAACAGTTGCTACCATTTTTTTTCGACTTAGATCAGTCGTGGCCGAGATTCGAGCCCACAACCTCCCGATCACGAAGCGAGCGCTCTACCGACTGAGCTGCCGTTAACAGTTTGACGAAAAAAGAAACAACAACGAACATTAAATTACGTGCATCACTGTTCCGAAATAAAATGAATTTACAAATATGTAACAGCTGTTTCGTCACCTGCGTGGCGCAGTGGTTAGAACGTCTGCTCTAGGTTGCGGTGTAAGGAGTTGATCCTTAGTCGCGGGTTCGAATCCCACTGTCGGACGTGGAGATAGGTCCTTCGGATGAGGCTGCATAAAACGAGGTCCCGTGTGGAAGTGGGAATTTGCACGAGAAATGGCCGTAAATGCCGAGTATAGGACACAACTCTCAGCACTCCACTGGCAAGTGGTTGCGTCTCAATATGAATGAAAAATTATTGAGAGGGACGTTCCGCCACATACAAACAAGCAAACATTTGTTCCATTCCTTTCTTTTATAGTCGCATTATGTTTGATCTAAAGTTATTAAAGGTTAGAATTTAATTTTTATGAACCAGCATCCAAATAGTTTTTGAAGGCCCTTAAAAATTATAGCAGTAAGGGGGTAGATCATCCATTTTCATCATGTTTGTAATAGCCGTAAGCATCCCCCTGCTGACTGGTCACACCCGCTGCGTGCTCCTTGTTATGATCGGGAAATAACGGAAAAAATCCGTCGTCAATTTAGTGTATAAATAATCACTAATTTGTCAATAATTTACCTCGTTTTAGAAAGGTTTAGAAATTGTTCATACGTAGAGTATGCTTTTGCGTATCGAATCAACTGAGATATATAAACTCTGTATGCAAATTACGAAGGTTTATAGCTGCATAAGTAAGGGAAGTTGACGATAGAAAAGTTAAAGTCATCACGTTTATCATACAGCTTGGTTGTTAGATTATCATTAATGTCTTTTTCAAGTAAAATATCCAAGTATGAAACATATGTGTCAGACTCTGTTGTATCTTTTATCACAAGCTGTCAAGGATATGTTGTGTCGACGTAGGAATGGAAATTACCATTGTTAATTGACAACACGTCGTCGATATATCTAAAAGTCGACTTGAAGGCCACAGCAAGTGTTTTCTTCTTTCCACGCATAAGATTTTGCACAAATTCTGCATCATATGATTACAAAAATAGATCTGCTAATAGCAGAGTGCAATTGGTACCCATGGGAATTCCAATATATTGTTGGAAGACATGATCTCCAAAAACCGCATTGATATTATCAATCAAAAACTCGAGGGTCTTTTTGATTTCAACTTCAGAGTACTTGTATGTGTATTCAGTATGTGTTCTAACAAAATAATTTTGTAAATGACCAATGACCAGGTAAGTAAATTTACGAGTTCCATTTTAATTGAATAAACAGCTATCAATAATATCAAAAAGCGTGGACTTTAATTTATCTTGGGGAATGGTTGTGTGTAAATTGAAAAGTCGTAACTTTTTAAGCTATTGATTTTGGTAAAATTTTGTGATTTCAAATTGTCCAAAGGTTCTTTGGAATTTTTGAGTACCCACATCTGATCCACACGACTTCATGTATACATTGTTGCACAGTACTCTTGAAGTTTTTCCTTTAAATTACTACTGTCAATACCTTAGTGAGGAGTAACAAAGAGGTTAGGTTGAACATTTACTGGAACCCGCAATATATCTTTGTAATGTAAACAATAGCAAACTCCTTTATAACTTTTTTTCTTTAATTGAAAGTTTTAAGGAGACATTTAGACAAACAAACTGTAACCGAAAAGATGAAACAGGAACAATTCATCATATTGACCTACAATACTTCCATATACTGTTTTATTATACCAAAACAATCTAGGGCGATTTATAATTTTTTTTTACCAGATATTCCGACATTTAATAAAAAACTCAGTACTGTAGAGGCATAATTACAAATGCATGCGGTTTAACAGATTGTATGATAAGTAATGCATTGTGTCCTATAACAATTGAATAATAATAATAAAATAATTAGTATTTTCACTGATATTTCGAAGAATTATCGTTGTCTTCATTTTGCTAGAATTACAATCACATATTGTACATTTAACTGTCTTTTTTCCCCTGGCATCTTTCCAAATACGCGAAAACATAGATTTTAAGAGACATTTAACCCACCATTTATCGACACGCAAAATGATTTCCGTTGAACAATCTCATGTAGTTGAGTATGGTTAAATATCAGCCAGTTTTACTACAAGAACACTGATTCATTAATAAAACATAAACCCTCTATACAATGCACACTAAAAGTTCTTATTTAACATGTATTGTATTGTGTATTTATCTAATATATCCGTATCAAAATGTTAACATCGTAAAAATAGCAGGTTTGAAAACAATTTAGATTTGTATTTTTTTTTTATTTTTACAGTCAGGGAAAATATCAAATTTGGAAAAAGATCTGGAAGAAGAGAAGAGGTAGTAAACCCTCAGTTTAGCATAATTGACCAATATCACAGCTATCATATCCTTTATTATTTTCTTCCTGCATCTTAATCAGTCTTTATCTAAAAGAAATACTCTGTTTCCCATGAACATGAGATTGTAGAGAGAATATAAATTACTTCAAAACAAAATTCAAATGTAAATTATTAATTCATATTTATAATTTTTTGTTCAAAATCATGACATAGATCTAAAAATAATATTATCTATAAATGTATAAGGGTTCTTATTCTTGCCGTCAGTATTTTTAAGACACTGATTTCTTTTAATTGTCATATTAGTATAAACACTGCAAATTTATATAAAAAGTGCTTTGTATTCTTTCTTTTTAAAAAGAATCATATTTTATCCGCAAAGAAACAGATTCAGGAAAGGGAGATATAATATCAGATATAATCCGATAAATTATGTACAATGCAACGTACATTATGTACAGATAGTCTTAAACTTACAATAACTGTTCAATTTATATCAATTTCAATTTTTTATTTTATGCTTCACAATTTCTTATAGTATGGAAATCTTACATTGTGAAGAGGATGACCAAAATTCTGCTGTTGATGAAAGTGAAGAGTCCACTTCACAGGAAATTTGGATTCCACCAGCGGCTTCCAATATCATTGGTCAAAATCAGAAAGTGTTAGTATGCATATGAGGATGGGTGTGGTTGTCAAATGTTCAGTCACATGTAAAATAATTAAGGAATCATCGCGAAATCAGTTATACATAAATTATCCTACTTTCTAACTAATGTTTATGCCTCTGGGAAATTCAGGATACTAGACAGTGATTCCTAATTCTTATTTACATTAATTTTTTATGCCTCTCCTCCTTCCTTTGCCACAACATAACATTAACAATAAACCTGTTGAAATTGTAATTTATTGATAAAATAAATCCTGATGAACAATCCAAACATGTAATAGAAACAAATCAAAATATTTACCAATATATTCTTAAAACTACGTGCAATTATCGGTTAAAAAAGATAAGCAAATACAAAAGGACGTATAAAATGCAATCAGTCCTTCAAAACATAAACACTCAAAAGTTTACTTTTTTCATACAATGAACATATCTAAGTTAACAAATGACTTTGAACCTGTCTCGAAAAATAAACAGACATACATGCAAATTTTCACACATAAATACATATCCATCACCAGTAAACCTACAAAGTTATATGTATGAGACTAACAGATAAGTTCCAATTTTAATATCTCACAATAATCAAAAAAGGGCAAAAGTGGTGTCCATTACCCATAAGTTAAAAAGATCATGTCCAACATGATTTTGGAGACGACTTGGCATTAGCTTTGTTAAAATAATAGAATCTCCCCATGGATTACAAAATTAAATATGTACAGTCTTCAGCATAAAATTATTTATTACATAAATTGCATTTTATTGCGAAATAAAATTTTAAATATAGATTTAAGAAATTGCAGCATTGTTAAGGCTTGAAAAAAGGGGGCGGGGCCTATTGTATACTGTGACATCACACAAAATAGCTATTCATCATAACACCTGAAAATCGAATAATTTGCAATTCTAAACTGTATAAGCATAATAAACAACATCAAATCTTATCAACATTAAAAATAATTACTAGATAAATCCCAGACAACAGTGCGTTAACAAATCACTGATCGAAGCTAACTTGTCGACAAGACGTCATTTTAGTAAACATGACGGTTTTTTTAAGTGCTGTGGAATGCAGATCATATATATTTCACAAAGAAAAGAAATGTAAATGATTATTTAGAATTTTCATGTTGGTTGAAGTTTGACGGTAGTTTGCATTTCCTAAAAACCTTTTGTAAACTAAAAAATAAATATCAAACATGCAAAAAAGAAAAGAATGCTTAAAACTCTGTAAAGTTCTTTTTAAAATCAGATGCAACTTTAGCACAAGATTTGTATTCTGTTCCTTAAATATTGATTTAATTGATTGATTGACTTTTATTATTTAGCGACGAGTCGACAATATATAACTCCATAAGTGCAAGCTTCACACAGTGAAGAAGAAATTTCTAGAATAAGAAAATTAAACAGAAAGGAAAAAAATATATATTTTCACACAAACAATACAATCTCTTTTCATTTTTTTTTAATAAAACTGTATTTCAAAGATGGATATGGAGATAACGAACAGTATTCAATCTCAAAGTCCATTTAACAGTACAAATTAAGGGCAGAGCAAACACGGACCCCCGAAACATAAGAAGTGGGATCAGGTACCATGGAGGAGTGAGCATCCCCTCCCAATCGGTCACACCCGCTGTGTGATCCTTGTCATGATCAGGAAATAACTCGTCGTCAATTCAGTGCATAAATAAAGGACTAACAATTGATATGAAAAACTTCAGTCAGCATTTGACTCAATGTAAATTGTATTTGCTGACAAGGTGATAGTTTCGACCATAAAACTTACGAAATGATGACTTTAAACAAGGCTGCTTATATTCTTGTTTCGTCAAATTCCTAGTCAATAATATACCTCGTCTTAGAAATTGTTCATACGTAGAGCATGCTCTTGCGTATCGAATCAACTGAGATATATACTGTAAACCAACTTTTAATCGCGTGCGAGAAATTTTTGTGAGGTTAGCGAAAATTAAATGTCACGAACTACTTTACTCCCGGGAAATCGCGAAATAAAGTCGTCGTGAATAAAAATTGGTTTACAGTACTCCTTATGCAGGTGATGAAGGTATATTGCTGCATAAGTAAGGGAAGTTGTCGATAGAAAAGTTAAAGTCATCACGTTTATTATACAGCTTGGTTGTTAGATTACCACAAGTGTCTTTTTCAAGTAAAATATCCAGTATGAACAGATGTGTCGGACTTTGTTGTATCTTTTATCTCAAGCTCACCAGGATATATCGTATCGACGTAGGAATGGAAATTACCATTATTAATTGACAATATGTCGTCAATATATCTAAATGTCGAGTTGAAGGCCACAGCAAGTGTTTTCTTCTTTTCACGCATAAGATTTTGCATAAATTCTGCTTCATATGAATATAAAAATAAGTCTGCTTATAACGGAGTGCAATTAGTATCCATGGGAATTCCAATAGATCGTTCGAATACCTGGTCTCCAAAACCCACATAGATCAGAAACTCAAGCATCTTCTTCAGAGTACTTATGTGTGCAATCAGAATCTGTTTTAACAAATAATTTTGCAAATTTGAAATGTCGTAAGTTTCGAAGCTGTTGATTTTTGTAAAGTCCTGTGATTTCAAAAATGTCCAAAAGTTCTTTAGACTATTTTAGTATCCACATCTGATTCACACCACTTCTTGAATATATAGTTGCACAGTACTCTTGAAGTTTTTCCTTTACTACTGTCAGTATCTTAGTTAGGAGTAACGAAAGAGGCTTGGTTGAACATTAACTGGAACCTTCAATGTATCTTTGTTTGTAAGGATTCTTATGAAGCTTCGGAATCCGATGTATATATGGTAGTTCAAATTCATTTTGGCTCTGTGGAATATTAAAAGTATTCAAAACTGACCGGTGATTTTGAAGAATTTCTTCCTTAGAAAGGGAAGTGTGAGTATAAGTAGGATTACCACTTGTAGAATTAAATCCAAGTTCTTCTAGAATGCAGTTTATATAATGAGCTTACGAACGAAGACAATGTTGTTACCTGCTTTGTCGGCAGGAACCAGTACGTACTGATCGTGTAATCTATCTAATTCTTTTTTCACTTCTGGTATATTGAACACATAAGAATATGTGGTTTTCATATTTCCCCTTAATCTTTTAATACGTGATTTTGATATGGATCTGATACTTTTAATCTATTTTGACAAGGTGTAAACGTCTTCTTATTCATATATGTCCCATCGTCTGGCGTAATTTTCAATAGAATCCATAATATTTATGAAAATCCGACGTCAGATGAAGGATCGGGGTTTTAAGACAATATCAATCAAAAAAGAAAGAATTGAAAAAAGGAATACACATATGAACATTTGTTGTGTTTTTCTACTAATCCGAATTTAAAATTGAATTGAATGTCATTTTTGTGTATACTCACGCGTAGAAATATACAAGGATATAATCGCAAAAAAGTGACATCAAAATGAAACTACAGAGATGTTGATAAAAATGAAACGATCGATATAGGGTAGTGAGAAAGAAGAAGGTGTGGTTTCCATATAAACTTTGCCCTGTTATTTTCTTAAAGATGAAACTGGTGTAAAAGTTGAAAACTCATGCCTTTTAAATAATTGAAATTCAATGCAGAAAAATCATACACGTCATTTTTCTCACATGTGTTTTTAAATGCTAATTATGACGTCATAAACATGTGCATTTTCCCGTAGATACTTAAAATGTTGCAGAAGACACCAATTTTCAACGGAATTTTCTTTCAGATAACATCGCCCACAAAGATCATGAGATATTTGATTTGTTATTGAATTTTGCACAAAATATAAAAAAAATTAACGTGGGCTGTGGACCCTGTTTTCAAAAGGAAAATCACCCTTGAAATGTGCCATTTTGAGGCTTTTCTGTTGAAAATAGAGAAATGCTTCACATTATTGACGTCATATTTGCAGAACGGTAAACCTTCATGCCATATTCTTTCTTGATTTATCTGAGTCATTTATTTAACTAATATTTAAGCCAGTTTTAAAACTTTTTTATGTTATTAAATTTTTAGGGCGCAATAAAGCTAAAACCATACCTTCTTCTTTAAAGACTGGATACATTTCGGTGCTTGAAACATACAAAATGTAGATATAATGAATGCTTAAGAGTGTAGTGTAAATTATCGGTGTGTAACTCAGTAAATTGCAAATAATTTAAGGAATCGGATGACAGAAGATACTTTTAGTCAAGAAGAAAAATTAATTATCCTGTTTTGCGAGCTGCAGTTGATTCTTGAAAGTGACGAGTATGACGACGGCTTAAGAAAGAGTCTACAAGAATCCAATCCAGGATATCAGACAAAAATCGAAAAAAGAAAGAAAGATCTGTTAAAAGAAGACCATGGAATTGTTGTTGCAGGTAAATATGACATAGAAATTTGAAATGGAAGCTACATTAATATTTTCTGCTGACATAATATAAGTAAAATATTATTTTAATTTAAATTTGAAAATCAGTCATTAAAAAATACTGAGACAATCTATCTCACCACCATATTAACCGTTGAAGATCAACATGCCTTTTACTTATTTAGTCTTTAATCCGGCTTTCCTTTGAAAAGAGTGACGGAGTTTACTTCTGAAAAATTAAATGATTTCCTTTCCAATTTATACATGCCACTCTGTCACATTGTAACACTTTATACAGTTTGACGAAATGCAGTTTTTATGATAAGAGTAAAGGTATTAGCAATGTTATTATCGCACATTTTCATTGTAGGTGAAACAAGTGCAGGGAAATCGACGTTAATAAATAAAATTCTACAAAAAAAAAATTTTAAAGCCAAGTTGAAGGAATCAACTTCTACGATTTGTAAAATAAGAAATTCATCAGAAGTTCGGATTATCACAGAAGACATCAATGAGGAAATCAGAACAGAAGCTTTTCAAGAAAAGTGCAATCTTGAAACAGAAGATGGACAGACGTTACTGAGAGAAACATTAAAAAAATTAACAGACATGACCTCAGCGAGTGTCAGCAACTATTTCCGATCAGTAGACGTTGGATTCCCATTACCCTTTCTCAAGGTTATATCAGAAGAATAAAAAAAAAAAACAAGTTTATATATTGTATATACATGTTGTTTGTCGGATAATATAATTGTTCTTAATAATTGAAAATGCTAATTAAATTGGACAGGGCAACACAATTATCGTTGATACCCCAGGAATAGGTGGTTCTGGGGACTATAGCGAAAAACTGATGGAGTACCTTCCAAATGCAGTTTCCTTTATTTTCGTTGTCGATGTCGCAAGTGCCGGTGGAATGCAAAATGACAGGGTACGTTAAATTACAAAATGTTAACTGTAAGCACTTTGGACATAATAAACTCTTCCCTAAAAATTTCAGCTCTTAAACTTGATCACAAGAACAATTATATATCAGCATATATAAAACTAAGCTATTATTTATAAACTTTAAAAAGCATCTTAATATTGTGTCTAAAATTGAAAATGAAAGTGCTGATTTCAGAAAACTAATAAGTTGTATAACTTGATATCTCTAAATAGAAATTCAACTTCTTTTTGTAAGGAAGGTCTTCCGTCTTTCCTTTCATTTAGCTTTGCGTTTAGCTCAGTTTTGTAGCTCTTCGAAAAAATATATATTTATAGGCCGGAGAGCTACAGAGCCACCCATTGAAAAAACTGTATATTTATTGCACACAAAATAAACTGCGCTGGGTTCTCGATTTATTTCTCCATGTTTTTAAAGATGTAATCTCAAAATATTACTAAACGTGTGTTCCTAACATATTCTTGGACTCTTTCAAAAACAAAACATTCCGCATAATTGTTGTAAATTGTCCTCCCTGCCCTGATATTGCAATCATTCGACATTTCGCTTATTTATATTGCCATTTTGGTTTCAAAGATAATTCGGTCCAATATGCTTCGTTCAGATGTCAACTATGAGTGAACTTGATACAGGAGAGAGTAATTTTTTGAAATATTCCATTTTTTGCAATTGAGGTAAGAATTTGGAAGAATTAAGCCATAACTTTTGTGCGCAATAAATATACAATTTTTTCAATGGGTGGCACTGTAGCTCTCTGGTCTATCGATATATATTTTTTCCGAGAGCTACAGATCTGCAGCTTAATTTTTTATCGACTTGATTATGTTGATAAATATTGATGTAATCTAGTAAACTGCAGTATCATTTTTTATCTTGTCCTTCTTTCCTTTGACCTTTACCTTAACCTCTCTTTTCTTAAGTCAGTTACCGGTGGTTTTAAAGAAACCATCATTGAAATTTTTGTTGAACTTCATATGATGATACATACTGAAATAAACTATTCAACTGCATCAACATTTAACCTTTCCTTTGAACTTGAGTTCAAATTTTGGATCACCTGAGCTGAAAACTCAGGTTAGCTTTTCTGATCACATTTTGTTCGGTGTTCGTCTGCCTGTCGTAGTGAAATTTTGGTGGATTGTTTCAAATATTTTCTCACGAACCACTTGGTCTTGAAAAATGAAACTAATGTAGTATCCTCGGGTAGACGTAAGTTTGTTCAAATCATGACCCTCAGGGGCAGGATGGGTCTACATTGGACTTTCAAAGTCTTACATAGGAATACACAAGAAAAATCTTTAAAAATCTACTTCTCGAGAACAACAAAGTCATGATAAGTCATATTCATATGGAAGCATCTCCAGGTACTAAACATGATCACCGGGAATAGGCTGGGGCCACAGCATGTAATCAAATGTTGACAATTGAATATAGAATAAATCTTTAGAAATCTTCTTTTCAAGAACAACAATGATATGATTGGTCATATTTATACTGTAAATGTATTACAATTGGAGTGTATGATATTTGGCGGAAATTCAATTTTCAACAAGTTAGCGTAGATTTGATTTAGCGCTGTCTGAAGTTGCTATTTATAAAAGTTAATATAGAAGACATTTAGCGATGTACTTGAATTAGCGGACTATGCTTTCCGCCAAAATCGCTAGATAGAATACACCACTAAATGTAATACGTTTACAGTATAGAAGCATCCTCAGGTAGCGTAGATTCAAGTTTACTCAAATCGTGATCCGGGGTAGGGTAGGATTACAATGGTTGATCAAGTTTTAACAAAAGAATATATATTATATGAAAAATTCTTTAAAACCTTCTTCTTAGGTAACAACAAAACTACAATTGGCAAAAATGCAATTTTCAAATCTATAGGGAAAAAGTCACAGTATGTCAAAGAAATATGTAAGCATTCTTTGTTAATGTAGATTCAAATTAATTCAAATCATGATCCCCCGTTATTAGGGGTAGATTGGGAGCACTTATGCATTAAAGGTACTTGGACACAGATTTGAAGTTATTATTTTCTCTATAATATTACGACTTATATATTTTAATAGCATTTCACATAAAAATTAATTAAAAATCTTATTTCGTTTAAAAGATATTGAAATTTCAAATTTTTCGGCGGGTTTGATTGACATATCCTTGCACTCTCACAAATTTAATTTTATTCTTAATCCTTAGGAAAAGTGGCAATCTCGTTTTGTATAATTGAAAAATATTAATACTATAATCCAGAAAATTCAGAGTAGACACGTTCGAAAGCAAAACAAACATACAATATATTGTCAGTCCGTGCAGTTGTGGTAAGCAGACTGTGACGATTGAACGCACCCGGTGAATTCTAAATATAAACAATAACAGAACTCGAACCCTGTTTACAAAAACTGTGTACATAACACGAGTGTGCTCGATTTGCTAAACTCTGTACGCATCTCTTAGTTCGGAATGACGATACTTGTTATGCTATTTTGCTTTCTAACATTTCTACTCTGAATAAAATTATTTTTCTTGATAAAAGTTTTAATATTTCTCATTAAAACACATCAAAGTTGCCACTTTTCCTAAGGATTAAGAATAAAGTTAAAATTTGTGAAAGTGCAAGGATGTGTCGATCAAACCCGCCAAAAATTTAAAGTTTTAATAACTTTTAAATAAAATAAGATTTTTAATTAATTTTTGTGTGAAAAGCTATTTAAATATATAATTCGTGATATTATACAGAAAAAATGAGAAAATATTAACTTCAAATCTGTGTCCAAGTACCTTTAAAGCTTTTCAACACAAGATTGATTTTTGATGTTTTTTCTTAACTACAGTGCTCATGTGAGCGATGTGGCCCATGAGCCTCTTGTCTTAATTAGTGTTTATCTCGGTAAAAAAAAAAAAAAAAACCTTTCAAGGTACAGTATATTTATCAAACCTAATAAGCTAATATATATTATAATATTTACATTTCCAATGTCTTTGTCCAAGATAAATTACAAATTGTAAATGTACTTTATTTTCCCATTAATGTATTGGCGCGGTTCCAAAAAAAAAAAAAAACACGTGCAAGGCGGAACAGACAGCTAGACAAAAGCGGGGCTTGGAGCACGTGGATTGGCGGAATCAAAGCATATAAATATAAGGAATAACTGTCAGATTTTTCAATTTCATGAAGATGATCAATCAATTGACTTGCGTGATAATTTTATGCATAAACGCCTTCGGCGTTTATGCAAATTATCACGCAACCCAATCGATTGATCACATCATGAATCGAAAAATAAGACAGTTATTCCTTAAGGACAGATGAGACGTTCCTTAATAATATATAAAATTTTCCAAGATTTTGTCAATGAAGTATTGCTACTTAAACATGTGTACTCACAAAAATTTGAGGTACCTTACCAGGCATTTCTGCAAGATACCAGGGGTAGGTTTCTTATATAATCCTTTTGGGAGGAAAAATAATTTTCCAATTTCAAATGTTTAAGTGTTTTGATTTTTTAAAGACGTTGAGAAACTGGTTTAGAAATCAGAATGTAATCAAAATTTTGAATATTATCCATATATTACGAAGATAAACAAAACATATTTTGAGGAACGTCTCGTCTGACCTTAAGTGAGAACTATTCCACTGTATCAAAAACTTGTTATCTTGCACTTTCCTGTGACCTTGACCGCACTTTTTTTTTAATTTGTACTTTGCTTAGTTTTAAAGAAACCATCTGATCACGTTCAAGTATGCAATATCGTCAACATTTTTTGGGTTAATGTTGCAATGAATATTGAAATAAATTGTGTTAATGTTAAAGGTAAACATCCTAGTATTTTTTAAATCGGTAGCAGTTTCAAAGATATGTATGTGTTAAGTTGCTTTCCTTTCATCATGTAGACAATACTTTGTAAGTAAATGCATTAACAAATTGGGCTTGAGAAAGGCTCCTACTGGAAATGATAGTATTTCGACAAAAATTGTTTAAGTTGGCCAAAACCAAATTTTGAACTCTAAATAAAGTTGTAATATTTTGTTTTCTCATAATGTTTTGAAGATCGTATTAAAATAGCATAAGGTTCTCTTCAGAAGAAAAAGGTATTTTGAATACAGGAAGCTATAGACCAGTTCGTGTTTTACTTACATTTTCAAAAATCTTCAATGGGTCATTCTCATTTAGTTACAACATATTTGCTTTTTTTCAAATGCCATTATAATGATGTGTTATCAACTTTTACACCAGGTTATTTGGCTTACAAGGTGTAATGCTAAAAATTGTTAATTATTAGAAGTTTGATCTTGATCATAAAAAATAAATATACTGTAGCAATTACTATGGTTATCTAAAGTCTTTGATTGTATTTCACATGATCTATATTCAGCATAACAAACTACGAATCTGATCTCAAGCAATTTAAGTAAGGGATAAATATCGAGATTGTGTTGAATAGTTTAGATAAAACATTCTCTCCGAGGGCCGAAACTATTCAACACCATCTCGTTATTTATCTTACTTAAAACAATTCCCTTCTTTGGGTCCCAAAGAAACTATTATCCATTCAAATATCCAACTTTGCTGCAATACAATAGGATGCAGCCCAATATGATGGCGTGTTGAGAAGAAGTGTTCTTATGGAGTTCCATTCGGACAATTCCTACAGTAGTGTTTAATCAGAAGAAAAGATTGGCGGTGCAAGATATGCGATAAAAGCGGTGTCGAAAACTAGATGTGTTGTCAATTGAATAAGTTTGGTTTGGAAGTATACGCCGGGAAAGTATATCGGATAATCTGAAGTGATTTACTGATAACGGACCCTGAAATAATATTCAGCAATAAGAAGTGATGTAGTTTAAGATTCAAGGTGAAAATGTATTTCTATGTCAAAAAGTTATGCTTTCAAAATTGAAGACTAAAACATTTCTAAAAGTGAGCAAAATTCGGAGGAATTGTTTATCATTTCTGGGAGCATTGGAACTGCATTTGAAACCTGAAAAATGTTATAAATGCGAAGTAATTACGGTAATTCCGTGTGCACTGGAAATTAATTCTAATAGTGTGGCAAATTTGGAGTAATTATTATTTTTCATGTGCATTGGAAATACATTTTAACTATCTCTTTCGTTCATTGTTTTATGTTTTATGCACCGCAATTGGATATTTAGATATCCTGCCGATAGGCAGTTGGATATTTGAATATGTCATTAACTTCAGATGTTTGAAAGAGGCACATTGCTCAACTAACTATGCTTTTGGCATACTTACTTTACTTTTTACCGAGAGACAGAGCAGATGATCAAAGAAAATTTTCCATTTACACTTTAATAAGTAATGCCCCATCCCTGGGAACTGAACAAAAATCACAATTTTGGTAAAGGCATCATTGCACATAATAAACACCAACAAAAAACAGATTTCAAATCATTAACTCTTTTTCAGTACTGTACGATTACGTATATTCATTAGAATCCCCTACCCTGCCCAAGGGCTTTGAAACTCGCAATTCTGGCATTAAACCAAGTATCATAAACAACATGAAGAATTCATCCATTTTCACTACATACTTCATACAAACACCCGTATGAAATTCACAAGATTGAAAGAGGCACCTTTCCTTATCATACTTAGGTAATAGTTCAATTCTATCGCCAACTTCCCTTACGTATGCAGCAATATACCTTCATCACATGTATATGGAGTTTATACACTGTATATCTCAGTTGATTCGATACGCAAGAGCATAATCTACATATGAAGAATTTCTAAAATATGGTAAAATATTGACAAACAAAATTTAAAACAAGAATATCAGCAGCCTCATTTAAAGTCATCATTTCGCAAGTTCTATTGTCAATTCAATGACCTTGTCAGCAAATACAATTTATCAATGAGTTACATTTTATCTTAATTTTTTTCATATTTATTCTTAGTCCATTATTAATACATTGAATCGACGACTTATTTCCGTTATTTACCGATCATGACAAGGAGCACACAGCGGGTGTGACTGGTCGGCAGGGGATGATCACTCATCCATGGCACCTGATCCCACCTCTGATGTTTGGGTGGTCCGTGTGTGATCGCTCCTGTTTTGTATTGTTTTATGGACTTTTGATCTTGGATACTGTTCGGTATCTGCATATGTTTTATTTTTTAATACCAAGGAGCGAGGAAAATTTTTTTGAAGAACTAATGCTATTGCATTTTCACCATATAATCAATTGAGCTCCAACCTCACACCAAAACAACTAACCCAGGGGTCATGTAATAAATAATTTTGGAAGAGGCAACTTCCTCATTATGACCATGTATATAGTTCATCAGCTTGATAACCAGGAGCAGAGAAGAAGATTTTCAAAAAAATTAATGCATTTCCACTATGTCATCATTTGAGCCCCGCATTTACACCAGAACCCCTGACCATGGGACCATGAAATTCTCAGATTTGGTGGCCAGGAGTAGAGGAGATTTTCAAAGAAATCAATGTTTTTCTATATATAATCATTAGAATCCCACCCTGACACCAGAATTGATGACCCCAAGGCCTGGAATTTCACAATTTTGGTAGAGAACTCAATAATTTTTAAAATGGTCTAAAGGAATAATTAGTCAGTCGATTTATGAGAATAAAGATCATTCAAGTTGCTTCTGTGAGGTTAAAATATCACAACTGAGTATTTATATCCCTTGCAGTCGTCATTTACGGCCTTATCTTCAGAACATATAATTGATTTTTTTTTTAACTTACCTCCATCTCCTCTCTTTCCGATTCCAGCATCTAAGCATTCATATTGTGGTGAACTTTTTCAGCTCAGATTTTACACCAGCTAAATAAAAACCAGCCTTTTCATTGTCAATAGAAGCTTTTAGTTTGTTTTATCTTTACATTGTCCCCTGAAGTCATGTGTATGTGATAAATTTGAGCGGGGATATTCATCTACCTCAATTTTCTTAAGAGAGAAGGGGAACTGGAATTTTCCTGGTATACATTTATCATGTTTATTTGTTTGATTTTTTTTTTTTGAAATTTTAATCCTTTTTTAATGGAAAATTTAACGTGCCAAGATGACTCATAAAATGATTAATGATTTAACTAATTAGTTTATTCAAACCAGTATATATGTTGCATATAATCCTAATTAGTGAAGTTTTTTGTATACTACTTAATCCATTAACAGCTTCCACATATTCTGAAGTCAATAGTTCAACTTCAAATTGAAGATGAGATGCCATGCTTCGATCCAAGAGAGGTAATATTCATTACAAATAAGTGGGATGCTATTGGAAAAGATGAAGACAATGATGAACAAAAGATCTGGGAAGATCTGAAGAAAGATATCGAAAGTAGCTGGCAATCTATAAAGGAGGAAAATATTTTCAAAATGAGTCTACAAGAAGTATGTATTGCTTTATATTTAGATGGCCACTTAAATGGAAAATTCTATTTCAAAAAAAATAGACAAAACTATCTTTGACATAAATTATGTCAATTATACTTCATATTTAACATTCTGTTTACAGACATTTAACAAACTTTAACATGTAACAACAATTTCATACTGTAAAATTACATTTTTTTGTGTGGTCATATTTTCGAGGTTTGAGGAAAATGAAAGTCCCCAAGAAAACTAGTGATTCCCCGATATAATGGCCTTTTTAAAAGAAAATGTGTTATATGTACGTAAGTGTATCTTCTTTCGGTGAACGCATACTTTTTTTTTATATCTCATTAAGTATGTACATCTTGATTTTTTAGAAATAAAATTTACAATTAATATACTATCCCCATCTTTACAAGACAGCTTGTGCATTGTAAATGCTGAAGAGGTTATTTTTACTGGTGGTTCTTTCACATAGAAAAGATACCATGATGCTTCTTTAGCTGATTTGTTTTTGAAACAATATGATTATTCATTTCAATTCAATCTTATCTTGATATATGCATCTACTTACAAAGGTGTCACCAAATAAAACGAATGCTTCAACAAAGGAGTTTGAAAAATTTCACCTTTCCTTGAAATCGATTATCAAGAAAAGTGAAAATAAAAGACTTTTACAACATTTAAGGTGACAATTTGAAATTATTAATTTCGACAAAATACGAATACATGTTTTCATTACTGGATCTTTCAAGGTCTCTCTCTCTCTCTCTCTCTCTCTCTCTCTCTCTCTCTCTCTCTCTCTCTCCATTTTTTCTCTTTCTCTTGTTTTTCTGTCTTTCTGTATTCCGTCTTTCTTTCTTTCATATATATTACATCTTCCATCGTCCAAAGAGTTGTTCACGAATTTTTGAAAAATGTGTTAAATTGGATAAATTCTAGACTAGATCTAACAATCTTTTTTTTTCTTTCTTTTAAAGATATCTGCATGAGTTGTTGAAAAATGTGTTAAAGGGGATAGATTCTGGACTAGTGTTAGGTAAGAAAAGTGAAGAGGAACAGAGGGCTTTAACAGAGAAACACATGGAAAAAATCAAGGAGTTAAAAAGTAAATGTGAAGAGGTAAATTAAATTTAAATGAAAGTATAGTAGTTCTCTTCATGATTTAAGACCATCTTTCAACTCATTTAGGTATCTTAAGGTAGTCCGATCCTCGCGTGCTGAAAACGAGTTGTTGAAAATTGAAAATGCTCAAAAAATGTCTCTGAATTATGAAGTAATCTGAATGTAACATAATACGCTTAATCGTCAATCTTATCTTTAAATTAGTTATATAGTATAAAAAAAGGGAAGGGGGAATAGTAAATCTCCTAAATATTATCAGGATATGCAAATGAAAACAGATTCTTTGCATTTTCGAATTGAAAATAGATCAGGAAATACATTTTGGGTGAAAATACTAGTATAGGTTTGTAGGCTTTTGATTTTTTTGTATGCTTATATATGTTACTTTTAGTTTTTTCTACTTATACTTAAATGATTTTATAGTGCATTGTGTATAAAGCGTTTGTTTTCATTGCAAAACACAATAAATCAATTCTAATTTGAAATCATGCCAATAAACATTGGTATCTTAGGCTAGACAAAAGGAAATTCGATTTCTTTAAATGTGTTTGATTGCAATACTTTAAAGAGGTATAACCATCAACTTGTTTTCATTTCAAAGCGTTTCCAAGAAAATCAAATAACACCAAATCACCTTTAAACGGATAAAAATGAATATTTTGCAATAAATTTCGAACCGAAAATTTCTCTCAATTTACTCTTGTAAATATTAGATGATTCATGATGAAAAACGTCTTTTTGTTGATTGTTCGAACAAATCCAATTTGAACTACGCAGGACTGACCTTTTTTTCAAAATGCAGGTCAAACTCAAATTTAAAGGTCAAAAGTTCAGAGTTGTTGGTATCCAAAGGATGATTTTGTCACAAAAATTATACCTGTACCTAGTAATGAATCTTCCATATTTCATAGATGCACTGTAAATCGGTCTTCCTCTTGCATATGAGAAACTTCAACATTCGCTTAAAGCTGCAATACTGGAGTATCAGTTATTTATTATATTAAATATTTCGCTTCTTTTTGTTTAATTCTTTTTTCATATAATACTTTAGTTCATAACATCACGAAAAGATTAAAAAGAAATAATTTTCTTTAGGAGGGAAGGGAGTTGCGAGATAATTTCCAAAAGATGATTGAAGACTCGGCCACAGAGGTCTATGATTATATGTCAACACCTCTTGGAAAAGATCGAATATTGAATCCTCCGGGACAAATGAGCTTAATGGAAATGCCTTATATTCCAAATATGCTCAGTGAACAGATCAAAGACAGAGTACGGATATATGTCCAAAGTGTATTGCAATCGGAAAAAAATCAAAAAAAGTTTATTGAATTTAAGGAGAGAGTCCTTGTTTTTTATACTGAAATGCTGTCTGAGATTTCAGAATTGGAAAGTGATTGGACAGAATATTCTGAAGGAACACACACAGTTAATGTTGAAGAAGGATCAATGGTACCATATGTGGCTGGTGTAATTGCCACGTCACCGCTATGGATACCATTACTAGCGGTCGGCATTGGCTTGGCCTTTGCAACTCTTGGTGTTGGTATTGCTATATCGCCATTTGTTGCGCCAGTCCTCGCATATCTTGGTCGGAAAGAAAGAAGACAAGAAGTAATAGATAAGGAGTTTGAGATGTGCAGGTCATCGATTCAAAGCACAATATGTAATCATCTTGAGGAAGCTTATGGGCAGTTATTTGAAACACTGATTCAAAAGACTGTAATTGAAATCCTACCACGAAGGATAAAAGCTTTAGAAAAAATGATCCATGACCTATCAAAAAAACCGTCAGCGAATACTTGCCAATCAAGAAACGCTTGAACATCTTTCCAGGAAGTTAAAATCCATCGAGCAAAGAAAATTAGAATTGCAGACGAGCGTTGAATCAATTATGTAGACGGAATGTATATAATTTCGATATTGTACTCGATCAGTTCAGGAGCTCGAGTTTTTATGTAGTTAAACTGCGTAAAATAACGTAAGGATGGAAGATGACAATGCATGATAGTATGCATATATTGATTGGATCCGAGGGCAACAGGTGTTTTTATGGACCCAAGAATTAAACAGTTTGTCTGCGTTAACAGTTTCGATAGATGGGTCGACAAAATACATTTTACTCCAGAACAGTCAACATTTCTTTTTTAAACATCTTTTGTTAATTTGGTAATATGTAGCGTTCGCTTTTTAAAAAAAATATATTTCTGAACTTTATATATTATGAATATTATGAACTTCAAAATAATTTTGGCAATTTTTTTGGTTGAAAGGACGTCACGCAGCTTGCCGGCTTTTGTTATATCGACACAGAATCAATATATGTTGCTGATTCCTTTAAAATCAGTAAAAAGACTGATTCCCTGCCAAAAAGGTGCATCAGTTTTATGAACTGATACACACCTATTTAGAAAACCTGGTATTTTCTTTAAACAATTTAAAAAGAGTTGATATGTTCCAAATTTAATTATAAATATTCATAATGCAGCTCAGTTTAAGTTATATATTAGGAGACAGGGCCTAATTAATATGGCAAAATATAATATATAAATATTAAATAAATATATTGTGACGCCAACATGCATGGTAATTAAACTTATATGCATTGCACAAAATATCGATCACGTTTTCTCTCAATGCAAGTTGTTTATAAGTTAAGTTTGCAGATACGTTTTCATAGTATATAGACAATTGATTGAAATAAAAAACATATATATTTATTCATTTTTACTTTATATTGAGTAAACTATAATTCCTTTGCATAACTAGCTCGACGACGTGTGATACTCCACAAAATATTTACATTCGCTGTATTTTTCTACTAAGGAAACTGCGAAATTGATTTGAAAACCATTTTCTTGTATACCCACATGTAGAATTATACACGGAGAAACGTGCGCTAACGTGACGTCACAATGAGGCAACAGGGACGTTAGTAAAAATGAAACGAAATAGCTAGGGCAGCGAGTAATTCAAGCATTGGGTATATTTTTTTATGCTTTCAAACATGTAAAATGTAAATATAAGCAATGTTTTAAAGTTTTGTGTGATTCGTTGGTGTGTAAATCACACAAGACTTGCACGTAGGCATATTCTTCATGAAGCGCTAGCGCGCTTCATGAAATATGCCTACGTGACAAGTCTGTGTGATTTACACACCAATGAATCACACAAAACTTAAAAACAATCCTTAAATAACAACTGCGCAGAATATATGCAAGGTTCGTTGTATTATAATATCTGTATAGAACAATCAGTAAAATATACAATGTAATAAATTTTTCATGTTGTTTATTGAAACGCTTCTCTCTTGACAATGGTTTATTTGGTATGAAAATGTAGAATTTTTACTACTACAAGTGAAGTAAATGCTATAATTATGTAAATAAGAAACCATGGCAATTGATATTCAACTCTGATACAGAAAATGAAAGCGACCGTGCCTTTGCTTTTCAAATGTGTGCTTGTTATGCCCCCCTTCGAAGAAGGGAGGGCATATTGCTTTGCTGCTGTCTGTCGGTCTGTCTTTCCGTTCATTTTCTTCAAAACTGTTGCACATACTGAAATGAAATTTGGTATACAGATATATCACATGAATATCTAGGTCGAGTTCTGTTTTGGGTATGATCGCACCATTTTTGACAGAGTTATGCCCCTTGGACTTAGAAAAAATTCAATTATTTGCTGTTTCCGTTCATTTTCTTTGCAACCGTTGTACATATTGAAATGAAATTTTGTATACAGATATATCAAATAAATATCTAGGTCGAGTTCTGTTTTGGGTACGATCGCACCATCTTTGACAGAGTTATGCCCCCTGGACTTAGAAAAAATTCAATTATTTTCCGTTTCCGTTCATTTTCTTTGCAACCGTTGTACAGTACATATTGAAATGAAATTTGGTATACAGATATATCAAATAAATATCTAGGTCGAGTTCTGTTTTGGATACGATAGCACCATCTTTGACAGAGTTATGCCCCTTGGACTTAGAAAAAATTCAATTATTTGCCGTTTCCGTTCATTTTCTTTGCAACCGTTGTACATATTGAAATGAAATTTGGTATACAGATATATCAAATAAATATCTAGGTCGAGTTCTGTTTTGGGTACAATCGCATAATTTTTGCCAGAGTTATACCCCTTGGACTTGGAAAAATTCCAATTTGGGGGGAGGGGGGCATAAGTGTTTTACAAACATCTCTTGTTATGTTTATTTTCATTATAGTGTATAATATGCTTTTTGAATAAAATTAAAAGCTTTAATTTTCTAATTCTATTTCTTTTTTGTTTTGGCTCTGTCATGTAATACTTTAACTCTTTACAACTTGCTGATCTGTGACGCAACATGCACTTAATGTTCGCGTCATAGAAATATGACGTTACCATTACCCCGCAAGCACTTTATAGCAACGTACAAGTTTCTCTAAACTTTAGCGTAAATAATATCATGAAGTAGTATTTTATATGAAAATAACTTTAATTTCTCATTTTATGATGTTTAAGCAAGTATAAAAAAAGAAGGAATTTAGCAATAAAATGAAGATTAAATGAACTTTTTAAAGTGCGTGAAAATGCGTGATTCTGGGGTAACGGTATATGCGTGATTTTGCGTTAGAAATAGGAAATGGTATATGCGTCAAAATGCGTGACCGCAGGGAAGGGGGTTAAGGAGCGATCAGATGTGCGATAAATGACACACTTCTCCAGAAAGCCGAGAGGACTTCAAAAACCAAAATATAGAGATTCTTAGATACTGCATAATTCAGAAAACTTTTGAGAAATATTAGTGTCAGATCTATGGATGTTTTTTTAAAAAAATGAGGTTTGCAACATTTGATCAGCATTCCTATATAGCAGATATTGAACTTTTAAAGAAATATATGGCCTAATCAGCATAATTCTTTAAAGACTTTAGGCCTTCTGAGTACTGCATCAGTTATTGCTCACCCCGCCCATCCCTTTAACTTTAAACTTTCTGTTAACTTTGTTAACTTGCCTTCTGATAAGCATCCTAGAAAGCTTTAATTTATTCTTGTGAAATGTTTTATTCATTAACTTCTGCCTTGGTATTTGTGACATGGATGGAAAAAGAAGTACAATTCAGCAATATTTTGATAAGTTAAAGTCATTTCGAAAAATATTCATGAGCCATGGTTGATTGTGCAAAATATTTGAAGGATGATTCCTTGTGCATTACGGAATGTGATCTATAAAATGAAAAATCCGAAAATAGCTATTTGGAACTCCTTAGATGTTTTCAAAAACCTGCAATCAAATTTCTGTTTCTGTGCAAGTGAACAAAAAGGTAAATAGACGCGAATTTAGGACAAATATTTAATATTGATCTTGCGTATTTATGTTTGAGACTTGTAAAATTATACATGTAGCAATATGAGGCCCATTGACGTCAAACACGAAGGCAGTCGCAAGAGATTTGCATGCATATTTGGCCTCCTTAGGGTCAGACACAGTGAAAGATTCGCACGAGATCTGCATGCATATATTAGACCCCCTTAGCTCCTGACTTATCGACCTGCCTTATTTACATTCCGGTAGAATAATCAAGATATAAACTCCACTAAACTCTCAAAGAGTTATCACAGAGAATTAATATCAAATGGAAATATAATGTAATGTACGATGGTGAGGCACATTTTGAAATTGTAACTTCCACACATCAGTAACTTCGTGGCGTTACTTCATGGGCGTTGGCACAATAGAGGTTGCAGCAATTCATTCTGTACGCCTAGGCAAAGTAAGTGTAATAAATCAGAATTAGTAAAGTGGATTAAAAAAGAATTTGAATCACTCAATCAAATTATTTTATGTGTAAAACTTGATATTTTAGCCAATCAAATGATTAGAATTATTAACCAATCAGTACAAGTTGAACAGAAAAAAGTATAAATAGAGGGATCAATATAGCTTCGTTTACTTTTGGTGTAACTCTTTGTCGAAATTAGGTGACTTAGGAAGGGTACCTGGGCTGTGTCGGGAAACAACAGAATTGTTAGTTAGACCACTTGGATCAGGGACCCATTTCCCTAGTGTCTGAGACTTTAGCTTGTGTTTAACCAAAAGTAAAACAGTGTCCTGTTGCTAGCTATGATGTCTTGGTGACTTAAGCTTGTGTTTGTGTGTCTTTAGATGTATCTTTGAGTGTCATTTTAGGGTGTGTTTTAGGTAGTAGCAGACTGTGTCGGGAAACAACAGAACAGTTAGTTAAACCACTCAGTCTGCAACTACAAGGATAAGGTTTGATCATTGTTTTGATAAATTATTGGTGATTCTTTTGTTATTGTTTGTTTTTAGTCAGTTTACCAATCACTAAGCGAACCCAATAGATATTAATTTGTACATAGTAATAACGTTACATAAGGTAATAGGTACTGGATCTTCGAAATGGACAAGGCTAAAAGCAGAGACAATACTCAGTAAGAGGCAGAAAAAAATGTTGCAGATAAAACAGGGTGTGGTGGGAATTTTATAAAGTAATAGAAAAGTCAACCAATTTACAGCTTGAGATGCAAAATACGTCTGTTCGTCTTCGTTTAAAAGAATATGAGGTACTAGGGTTCAATAAAATATCCTTCGAAATGGTGCACCCTTTGAGTAAGTGAGTAAGTACTTTATTTCTAATTCTGAGTCTTTGAGAACCATTGGCACTCCACATCTTAATATAGAGATACAATGAATGAGGGATAATCCAAAGCTTCGCGAACTAATTGAATAAAAGAAAAAGACTTTTTTGTCAATTGAAAAAAATTAAATACATATATTAGATGCAAAACGATTTTACTATTTAACTATTTTGATTAGTCATGAGACACATCTACTTATACGTATAATTCTTTTTTATTTTATGATAAGGAAATGTAATCTTTTCTGTGCGACACATACATGTATTTAGAACATTCAAATGTGAAATGAATTTCGTCTTCTATTGAGTTTGAGGTGCATGTGTTTACAGAAGAAAATGAGTTAACGATCGAGGCGAGAGAACTCTATAATTATATATAATGCGACAAACATGAAGTAAAAATTTGAAAGCTCATTTATATCAACATTTTCTTTAATATTTCATTTAGCATTAAAATATAGGTTAAGTATAAAGTCTGTATAATTTACATAAACTTACAAAGACTTAAATTATATGCCAAAGAAATAGCATACACACACTAAAGAGGACATAAAGAATCATTTTCTCATACTTTAGCAGAATTTTTCAATATGAGTGGGTCTCGCTCCTTTTTTAAAATGTTTAAAAATAATTCATTTTTTTAGTTCACAAAAACATGGAGCAAGGACAAACCATACCTTATTTAGAAGTACACTTTTAAACTGAACATTCACATATCGCCGAAAAATACTATGAGTCTATTCAGTCAAAGATTCCACTTTTCCACAGGCACTTGTTTCGGAAATAAATTTAATATTATACTAATGGGTTAAAATTTATTTCCTAAACAAGTTGCTTCATGTGGACTATTCATCAGGAGCTGTTAGTAGCATAAAGGTTTACTGTGTAAGTCTCAAAGAAATAAGACTACGGATTTTTATTGCCAGGGATCAACACCCATGAATCTCAAATTAATTTTCAAGAAGTGTAAATTTTTTTCGAGGCTAATTTTCGGGTCAAGTTATTTATTCTACAAATTAATTGTACACAAATCAACCGCTTCATACAATTAATGAAGTTTAAAAAGGATTTAAGGAAAATATTCCAGGAGTGTTAAAGTTGCTTTCATACAGAAATCCATACTTATTGTATTTTTTACAACCACAGTTTGCATACAAAAAATTATTCAAATTTAGAACATTATTTTTTTCCGTTTCATATATAGTATACAGGCACGTAATTATAATATTCCTCGGTTCGTAGCTAGGCGTAATAAGATCTTTCTTAATTTGCATTACAATAAAAATTCAAAGAAGCTCGGGGGTGGGGGGTAAAGTACACCAATATACCATCTATTCGTCTGGTGTCTTTGATATTTTGCGTTAATTTTATAAAAAGTAACTCCCCCTCCCTATCCGAAGGGTACCACTGGAAAAGGAAAGATCATCTTGTTTATTTTGATTAATGATTACAATCGAAATGAATATAATAAATGAACAAGATTCTGAATTAAAAATTTCTGTAGCTTATCGAAAATGCAATCATGCAGAGAAAAAATTGTAAAATTAATTTTTTAAAAATCAGCAATAACGTGTACTTAATTGTTAATTAACCCCCTACTGATCGATACTTTTTTTTAAGTACAAACAGGGATATATTTGGAGCCTTATTATACAGTACTTAATCGAGATTTTTAATGAAAAATCATAGCCATTATCATGATTATGTTTGCTCGCATTACAATTTAGATCCGCGCCCGCCCCAAACATAGCGAACTCGTAGCTTATTTTCCGGCCGCGCGCCTTGTGGATGTGTATCATCTTTCACATGATAAACTATTATTACTTAGTTCACGTGACTAACTGAGAGAATACACAAGTTAAACATACCAGGAGAAATCAACGGTTATCAAAAAGTCAACTTAATTATATCTCGTCCTCAGGTAGGTTTTTATCTTTTATCGATTGGAATTTTTAAAAAAGCAAATCTAGAGCAATTTGCATGAGGAACAATTTACGTCTTGAGATAGTGTGTAAAATAACAGTAACCGACGAAAGGTGTGGTTTGGCTTGTATTTTTTGGCAGTTGAACGTAAGTACTTTGAGCGAGAGAATGTACAATTGTGCATGCAGTTAAATTATTAACTTGGCATGTTAATTTTTATTTTATGCCTTCTGATTATCTCGACCCTGTTTTACTGCCGTGATTGTAACATAAGTATGTCAGCGTAAACAATATCCTTCGCTGGCTATTCCATTCATTCACACCAAGATAAATATTTTTGTAAACAGCCGGTAAATTGGGCTATTCATGCCGAGAACTTTAATTAAATTTTACACGCACAGAGAGAGCGAGAGAGAGAGAAGAGGGGGGGGGGATTCACTTGGATTTAGAACCCTTCCTTCATGTGCCGATCTGAAAATAAATATGACACCTTTTTATGTTGTTTAATATTGCAAAGTACCTGAAGAAAACCTTTGTAAAACAACTGGGAGCTTTAATCTTTGGAATCACATCAGAGCATTGCTCTATTTATAGATCAATTGGAGTTTTATGGGTGGTCCTTTATCCCTGAGCTGTTGAACCCCTACCCTCCAAGTGCCGTTTAAAAAAAATCTATCTAGATCCGCCACTGTCATTACGAGAAATAATACCGAAATTGTCCATAACTTTTCCTTCTCCGCCTATTTTAATAATGGAAATACAAAGAACTCTACATGTAACATGCTGACCTTAAAATTTATCTCCGCCATGCACATGTTATATCCAGGAAGGAAATATAAGTTGCTTGCGTAAATCAAAAGAAAGAAAGCAAGAATTGTTAAATGAGCTCAAGATATTAATAATATGTCCGGGATGCGAGATACAGTTTACAAAAATAAATATGTCAGCTATGAGCGGTATCCCTTCTAGTGGACATGTAACTATTTCTATGTCATGTTTTAAAATTTGTCTTATCATGTAATTTGTATTTCATACATGTTTATAGGATCCGATTATCCCGGATTTTATGACTAAATCTCATTTACATTGTTTACGAGTAAAAATGCGCAATCTGTTACTTGAAACACGTGTTCAACTGCGGAATTAACTGTACTCCATCATCTTACACATTATCAATCGATAATAAAAATAATTCCACCGTCTCTATGTTAAAAAAAAAAAAAAACGCTTTGTCGACTCTTACAATACATGAACGTCCTCATACATGTAACCTCCACACTGTCCCACACAAATTAAAATAAATTAATACTTGTTTTTCTTTGTAAGCAGTTCTGAGGACTATCGCTAGGTTCCAGAGAAAAGGTTAACGCGGAAGAGGGCTGGGGTTGGTGTGTGTGTTGGGGAGGGGGTGGAGGGTGGATGGGTGTCCCTGCTCTATGCTCAAATCATGCTAAATGGAAATTTTTTAGTGAGTTCTGATGCACTCATCAATAGTGTCATTTCAAACAAAATCTAGAAGCGTCAATTCATATTTGATTCGAGTATAATTATAAAAGAAAGATACAAACAACGTTCCATATGCACAACCCCCTTCGGAAGGCTACTGCACAAACTAAAGGAGATCTTGATAATTTACATGTACACATCGTCGTTAGTCAAAGGTTTACGGTCCGATCCACTCCTCTATGGGGCGGATCTTAAACCGTATAATTGGCTTACGAAGATGGAAGATGTATTTCTTGTACCATTGGTACATGTAAGTTCTCGGACGTTTCCTAGAGATTTTTCCAAACTCACTAGATACATGTACATGTAGGCCCGATGAGATGCGATTGAGTCCTGTACATGATGAAAAGATTTGCAATCTAAACATTTTCCCAGTTTCTTGAACATAGGTTGAACATCAAATGTAAATTTTCCTTTTATCATTTCAGGTAAATAACTAAAATGGGTAAGGGTGAAGGAGGCGCCGGAATTTTATGGGCCTTTCTGTGGTTTCTGGTTTTAATATTTCTCGGATGGCCGATCGCGTTCTTCATCGCTTGGTTGTACGTTCTTCTACTTCCATTTGGAGCCTGCATTGCACCAATCAAAGACGTTAACCAACAAATACTTCGAGTTGTGCAACTTCCGTTGACATGCGCAGAGAATATGGTTGGAATGAAACCCATGTGTTAAACATATATAATTTTTTAAATGTACTCTTGCATACTATGAAGGCAGCAAAGTACAAACTATCATGTTATTTATTTTATATCAAATGTTTATATTTTTAGTTGTTGTGTCTGCATGCATGCCATTTTACATTTTTGTATCCAAACATTAGAAACAAAATAAATGGAAACTTGTTACACCGTTTTCTGTTTTATAAACTTTTAGTTTCCTTAGGTATGTTTTTGGTCATCGAGCTGATTTTCTCCCAATGTTAGGCTTTTTTTAGTCAATTATGTACTTTGATTTCCAGTCTTTAAAACTTTTTTTTCAAAGTTTGTATTCTGCAGATTACTCTTTGCATTCAACAGTTAGAGAACTGGGTACTATTTTTTTTAGTTAATTAAGTTTAAGACTCTTTTTATCACCCCTCCCCCACCCTCACTATAGGTCTAAACATTTTTCTTTTTCAAACAAACATAAAAACAAAATATTTTGTTCACATACATCTGATTTTTTTAATTGCCACAATGTCATAAAAATGTATTGCTGATTTTTTTGTAGTCACTGGTAAACTATTACTTTTTTCCCCTTACAATATCAATTACACACACATGTTCAATTGTAATCAATTTGATCACATCATTCTATAAAATGTACTAAGAATTGATTATATTAACGTTTTTGTGGGAACTGTCTCATCTACACAATCTATATAAATGTCTAGTGGAAACAATGACAAACCTTGCATTATTTTCAAGTTTTCACATTATAAATTCATAATTCACAAAAAATTATTTAAAATATCACGACATATCAACCATCTTGCATTCATACTAATTTTAAAACACATTGCTTTCGATAAATACTGAAAAATAAACTTGAAATCAATGACCAGAAAGAAATTATCTTTTTACATGGCACTGATATTCTTTGGGAAAAAAATGTTGCTAAGAAAAACAAAATCTGAAACTAAATGCTTATTTTTAAGAACAATCTAAAAATAAGATTTTTTTACTATAATTGCATATACATTGTAAATGCATATTTTGGCAGATTTTTAAAATATGGATATGATGAAGAACGTTCTATACATATAAAATTATATCAAAGATATCAATTTTGAGAAGAATACAGAAAAATTGATAAGAAATCAGAGAAATTAAATATACCGTTCAGTGTAACTATCAATTAAGGTGAAAGCAGAAAAATGTATACAACTATATAATGTGTATTTTAAATTTTCCTGAACAGGCAGATACATGTTTAAATGTTACCATAACAAAGTATTGGTGAAGACTAACATTTTAAATATATTCAAACATTCTTTGAAAGTCTTCATTAATAATATTTTTTTTTAAAGTACATTAACATTCACTTATATTTAATGCACCTAAAAAATGTTCACGATGCCCATAAAGAAAAAAGAAATAGCCCTCAATATAATACTTTTTCAAGAAAAAAATACCACATATCCTACACATAATATCAATAAATTCCTTTTACTTTCCAATGTTGAATTCACTAAAAAATAAAAATATCAAAACCAATCATAACAAAATCAAAACAATGAATTGAGCCTTTTCTTCTTGAATCAATTACCCTTAAAAGTTCTCCCTTTATAAACTAGCTCTTTCCCCCCACATAAATTACCCAGTCACAATTATTCATGCAAATTATCTACACAATCAACTCTTTAATTCAGTGTCCACATCAGGAATAACTATGTCTTGATTGGGCTGGCCGCGGAATCACTGAAGTGTTTTGTGGATTCTATCCTATCATAACATTCGTCGTATCATGTAGTTTAGGATTCCCCCGTGTCTAAAGTAGGTCAGCTCCACTTCTGTGTCAAACCTCGTCTTCACTTGGAATGTTTTGCCGTTGCTCAGCTGAAAAGGGAGAAAAACATCATAACGATGGTCAACTGATTGATTAACAGTTAAACATGTTAAAAAATTATCAAAAGAATCGTACATAGTGGTAAAATAATGACATTGGTCAAATGATAAGGGATAAAGAAGATGGGCGCATTTGGCGGGTGATCTGCAGGAATCATTTGTACGAAACATTTATGGTTTAAATGTCAATGATTTGGTTGGCTGAACATACCTGGTCAGATTTTACAAAAACGTCCATGGTTTATTTTTTTCATTTAGTTTGAAAGACATTGTAAAATTGTAACTTTTATGTCCATTTTTTTCTAGGGGGTACTATAACATAGTAATATTTCACAAAAGATTAAACCTAAAATATATTAACTGCATAGATGCATGATACGTGTACATGTACTTTATTAAAATAGAAGATTAGAATTGATTTCACTTGAGAACCAAACTGAACCAAAATTCATCTAATTCAAAATTTTAATACATCAGTACATAAAAACGAAACTGACAAAATAAATGGTTGTTTGCCTGAATAAAAAAAAATTAACGCCCCATGCCAGGCTCGAACCAAAAGCTTTTTGCGTGGAGTGCACTGAACAGGTAGCCTAACTAACTGAGCTATCACCGCTACACATGTAAAGATGTTTTTAAAAGGACAAAGACGCACCACATTGACACATTTGGATTTTTTGGGGAAAAGTTCGTTTTTCGTGGTCTCTGGGTCTTCTCTCCATTTTTTTAAAAAGTGTATTCGTTTCTTTGAATTGAAATACACACAAATAACGTTTCAAAATCATGGAGAGAAGACCCAGACATAGAAAATTTTTAGAAAAACGTGTTTAAAAAAGTACCATTTTGTACCAAAAGTCTGATATGGCCAATTTTCAAGTTATTTTTTAGCAAATCAAAGCTCAATTTCGGGAAAATATTTTCCGTTCCTGTTGCACAGGAACCCGATAAATTAAAAAAATGTTAAAATTTCATGTGACATGTCAATAAATTTTTCACTTTTCAAGTACGCCCAGGTTCCTGCCGAATGCCAATCAAAAGCGCCCTCGTTCTTTGTAAAACAATTTTACTACTAAATACAGACAATATTCTTGTTATTATGTCATTCAAGATGGTTCAAAATATACAAAACCAACAACCAATTTACACTGAACTGATTTGGTTTCACTTAAAAATACGGCATGGTACCACTGATCATATCAATATCTACCGTGTACCTCTATCCTTTTTTCCCCACAATTCTAATAAACAAGAACCATTTCAATACAAAGAATGTTGACCTTGACATTTATCACCACTCACCTTGACCTCTAACACTTGACCTGCGGTGAGGTTATCTGGGATGTCTACAGAGTAGGTCTCGGTACCAGTCAGCCCCAGGGTCTCGGCTGTCTGTCCCTCTAAGTACTGGAACGGAATGATACCCATCCCGACCAAGTTACTGCGATGGATTCGTTCATAACTCTCTGCTATAACGGCCTTAATTCCCTGTTGAAAAAAAAAAATCAAGATTGTTGTACATGCATTGATTCTTGCAACTACAGTAACAAATGTAGCAACCACAAGTCAAATTTTAAATTTAGTATATACCACTTGTGTTATATATCAAATTAAAGCTTATAAAAAATTGTTTACGAAAAATATAATTTCGAAATTTTCTGGTCAAGCATTGTTACTAAAAATAGATTGCGAAATGTAAAGGTATTGTTCTAGTGTGTGACCACTTTTCTGAAGAAAATACCTACTAGTTGTAGCATTGAGGTCAAAACTTAAGGTAATTTAAGGTAATGTATTCAAAATATAATCTCTCTCTTCTTATTTCCTTTGCCCAGAATCAGAGTTATTAAAGTTCAATTGCATCAAACACCTAGATTGACTTAAATCATCAGATAGTGAGAGTCTTCTTCCAGTATAATAAATTGGGTCACATGGGACACGCAACGTTGCGTTGACGTTATGCTTATAAAAAGACGTCAACAAATCCAATCAATAAAAATGATCACAAATTAATTTAAAACAAGATTTGTTTGTGAAACACTATGCGCCCGGAAACGACAAAATATTAAAAAAAAAACTTTTTGGCACATATGTCACAGTCAAGGTCACAAGGCAATTGACCTTGGTGTCATTTGAGAGAACATGATTAGTAAAATATGGATACAAAAAATGAAGTCTCTATTTCTTGCGGTTCAAAAGTAATTGCAAAGGTTAACTAAAAACGAAAAAAACTATTTTTAACATACAGGTCACAGTCAAGGTCACTGGGTTTTTGTCTTTAATAACTAGAAATTTAAAGACTGTATTTATCCTTTTGTAAAATTAATCTTTGTGTTGGGCACAATGCTTGCAATTACAAAATTCCGTGGCAGATCAAAGGGGGTCGCATCCGCCCCCTAAAATTGTCAAAGTTAGCGTAAATCATAGTTTCGTCGAGAAAATGTAAAAATGTCCACTCGGTTAACCTCAATTTTTCCTACAAAATCTCTAGAATTCAGCTTAAACCAGACCCCTGCCGATTATGGGCGCCCCCTCTAACTTTAATTCCTGGATCCGCGCATGGGATTTATAGAGAGTCAGAGTGATAAATTATATAGCCCTAAGGAAACTAAGAATCATGAATTTTTGATATAAATTATTAAAAACAAAAAGTTGTATCTTAAATTCTTCATACGAAACATTTGATATGATGCGGAGAATTGGTAATGAACTAGTATTAACTGGGAGCGTGGTGTAAATCTTAAATTATTCCGATATGTAAGTGGAGACTAATATTCTGAATAACTAAAAAAACTAGAAGAATATAAGTCATAGATATGACAGCAGCATATGATAAATTCTGAAAAAGGAGGGGGAATTTAATTTAAAATTCCTTTGAACATTTAATTAAACATGTAGATCTTTCCTAATGTGTGTTAAAGGTTGTCCGAATTTTTTTGTGAATTATTAAAGCTCTCTCTCTCTCTCTCTAGATCTCTCTCTCTCTAGATCTCTCTCTCTCTCTCTCTCTGATGTAAAACATTTGATTTGCCCCGCTTTTGAGAAAGCGATCGAGGTTTCTTTAAATCTTATTCGTCTGTCTGTTTGTCAGTCAGACTGTAAATCTGTTTGTATGTCACAAAAATTCAACCTTGGTCATCTCTTTAGAATTGGAACAGAGAAGAGATGGAATTTTATATTATTCATGTGTTCTAAATACACTACAAGAAACCAATATATTGTCGCAAGCGTCAAAAATCGGCCGCAAAAACAATTAATTGTTCCTTTGATATAGTAATAAGAAACTGAAATTTGCGTGATCTGTTTTTGAAATTTCTTACATTTATCTATTAAAATATCCTCGTGACTTAAAAAACACATGCATGCGACATTGCCAATTTTCTTCATGCATAATGCATATACAATAAACTGTATTTGTATAAGCAAACTGTCCATAGACTTCTGCGTATCTGCACTCAGTTTGGTACTTGTAAACGAACTATGGTAGAAGTTTAATGTTAAAGTAGTTTTCGCAACAAATATAAAATATGTGGGGCTCCTCGCTCTCTCTTAGAGAATGTTAACAACCCCCCCCCCCCCCCCCCTCCAACTCCCCCAAGATCCACAACTACATTTCTTCTCTTTCAAGTCTCTGTCATGTTAGAGTTTGTCAATCAGGATTGGATGAAACATTTACCCCCCAATATTTATAAAATTTTGATTTTATGATTATTGTGCTTTTTGTTGAACATTTAAAATAGCTTTTTTTAATATTCTATATAATATAAATATTAAATATTTTTATTTAAATTGTTCTAAGTCCGCAGAAACGCACAGCGACTTCAAACTTTCATATCAAGTAACCGACCGCCTCCTGGCGGCCCCTAATAATTTTTTACCTCATGAACTTGATCTTGAAGTTCGAAATACTTTTCAAAAACTTGAACCTTGGTCATAACTTTTGAATGAGAAAAGATACAAAGTCACAAGCCACGGTTTGGCGTCCGCTTACTAGTATGTGATAGGATTGTACATTTTAGTCGTGGTTTGTGACGATGGAAAATGCACTGTATAGAGCTTTCATATTTCATATGTATATTATCATTTCTAAATACACTATGGATTTTGACCTTGTGACCTTGAACCTTGACGTTTGATATACTTTTCAAAAATGCAATTTTCCCCTAATAACTTCTGATTGAGAAGAGATAATACTTTCATATTTAACATGTTCATTGATATGATTTCTGACCCCCTTGATCTGGGCCTATATGTTTGACCTAATTTTCAAAAAATCAACTTTAGTTATAACTTTTGAATGACATATTATAGGGCGTTCATATTTGGAACAATATGCCATAAATAATGTAATATTACCCACATAGAGACAAACAGCCAGTAAAACAAATTAAAGATTTTGTCTATACACGTACATGTATAGTACATGTACATCGGTGCATGCAGCACTTTCATCCCCATGTATGTTCATTAAATTAGATGTCAATGTCTAAGACATTTGATATACACTTTAAATTTTTTTTTCATCACGTAAACGAAATTTTTCATAAGTGAATTCTTCAATACTGTTTTAATAACCAAAAAGTACAATCTGAAAAGAGTCAGAAATAAAAATTTTAAAATGTAAGAAATAAAAACTAAAACATGTCGGCCATGAAAAGTTGAAATATCGAAAAATTTCCAATCGGCAATCCTCGGCTGACTCCGCTAGGCTCCATTCAAACTTCCGAGGTGCGATATATGAGCCGCCTGAGATGTTCTAGGTGAAAAATACCAGAAATGAAATGCAGCTGGGGCACCACAATTTTAATTTCTTGTTTAAAAATTTTAGACCTCTTTGATGCATCAGTAATATTATTTTGCCTATTTGAATTTTACTATTCATCCGTCTACCCATCCATATGTTCATATTCTACATATAGGCATCGAAACCGAGGGGGTGGGGGTGGTAAGGGGGGGGGTATAGAGGTCTTAACCCCCCCTTTTTTTCAAAGATAGATATTTTTAGGCATTGAAAATTGTGTTTTACCTTTTTTGTTGGTTTAGCCCCCCCCCCCCACTTTCAATCAGCCACCCCACTTTCAATTTGTTTCCGACTTTTATGCCCTAACATGCATGTAATTTATTGTTAGTGTTGTAATCAAGAATACTTAGAAATTTCAGAGATAGTATTTACCAGTCAAATATAATCTAGGTAAAATAATAAAATCTACACAACGTATTAGATTAAATGCATATGATCTATACCCATGGAAAACGAATCAAGAATATTTGTAGGCCTTTTTGTCTCTTGAAAAAAAATGAGCACCTGGCAAATACTATTTTTACATTTGTGTCGTATATAAAAATAATAAAAACATATGTATTAAGTTTCAATAAAATGCCAATGTATGGATATAAACTGTATTTCAATGAGAAAAAAATCATATGAGACAAGCTGAATGAACGTTATAAAAAAAAAGATATCCCACGTACCAAAAGTACAAAATTTTCTGTGACATGAATTTTGTAAACACGTTCTTCTGGTATTTAGCATATCATACAATAAGCTTATTTATTCATGAACTCAATTGAATTTATTTACATTTCTTTTAATAAAAAAATCAGAAGGCTATTGTATTTTTTTTCTTTACACTAGATACTTGTTTTCTTACATATTTATTTTATTTCTTACTCATGATTATAATTTTTTATTGCTTCAAAATTATAACGTCAATTTTACTTTATAGAAGTTTTCTTTTTCAGTCCTAATCATCGTTCCTTGTTTTATATTTTTGACATTTTTAATTAGTATTTTTCTTAGATAAAAAATTATTATATTTAAAACTACCCCTTCGGGTACCCTATAAAAAAGACACCGAGAGTTATCCCCCTCTGAATATTTCTATAGTTACAGTAAACAAACTCCATTACAAAACAATTTCCATGAATCGTGGAGGGCGTGAAAATGACGTCAAATATCATTCGCGCTGGCTATATGTTGTGTTGTTATTTGAAAGATCGCTTCTTAGCGCCGATGTAAGGAAAATAAATCTACACAGTTTCTTAAAGAGGAGAAGATTCTCTTTCGATCTATTATTGTAACACATATGCAACCGGTTCGTCAAACGAGTGAAAATACTCTCCGAAAAAATGCTTACATTTGACTATCCATAATCATAGCAATATACGAATCTGGCTGGTCGTGTTTGGTATCATTATATTCAGAATAATCAGCTGTATCTACCACTGTACAAAGAAATCTGAATATATCCTCTGTTGTCCTATAAACAGCGGAATAAAAGAATGCGGTTTTTACGATGCGCTAAAATCGTGACGTTTTATTTCAGAACAGGCTTGAACATTTGATAGGAATTAAAACAAAAAACAGCGATAAAAAATTATAAAATTATAATTTTTAGATTGTTTAACAATTCATCTTTACAGTTCAATTAGATTTTTTGAAGTTAGAGACACGAAAGTATGTTAAATACGCTTTTTAAAACTGGTAGTTTTGTATACTGTCACATAGCGTAATAAATAACGTAAAATGACTTGTGGATGCTAACAAATGCTTTTATTGAAGTGCCGAAGACAGACAAATTTGTTTCCATTTAACTCATGTTCATTATATCTATTCTACTTCACTGTTTGTCCCATGTAAAAATCTTTGTCTTTTTACGCAAAGTAAGTAAATCTGTCTCCATGACATCTCCAAATTTTACAATTATATTCATTCCTAAAATCTCCTTACCAGTATCCAGGGTCCCTTGGCGGCCCAGTCCCGGGACGACCCTGACCCATATTCCTTCCCAGCAAGAACTATGACCTGTCGACCCTCCTTCTTGTACCTCTCAGAGGCATCAAATATGTCCATCTACAGGGAAAAAAATGAAAACAATCTTGAGTTTGGCATTAAATGATGGCAAATGTGATGTTAGATTAAGGAATTCTTTCCAAGTAAAATAGAGAAGAGCGTTATTGGAAAAACTTTATTTCCAAAATTGCTTTGGTCAAGATGATTGAATAATGAATACAGTGAATAGGACCTAGCAAGGGATGAAAAGGTTGGTGTAGGAAAAAAAAATCAGAGATGATAATCAGAATGCAACTGATCCAAATCAGAACTGGACCTACCCAAAATGAAAAATAATAATCAATTTAAGATTGCCTTTGGTTGTAAGCAGCACAGAAATGATAGCTACTTTTTAAATAAACCAAGAGACTTATTTCTTCTCTAACCTCATCACTGGATGGAATGTGTCTGGTCCTAGGACCGGCTTTGCTCATGAATTTGTTGACTAGACGAATATTGGCAAAGGTTCCTCTGGACATCACGGCATCGTTACCTCTACGAGATCCATACGAGTTAAACTCACGAGGGGTTAACCTGTAAAGAAAACATACAACTTTAATGACTAAAATCAGCTTCCTTTTCAGGTCAAACACAGACCTGCCTACCCTTTTCGTTGCAAGGGTGTAATTTATGAAAATATTTGGTGGAATTTCAGAGGTAAAAGCGTAATTAATCATGTTTTCCTATTTTGTTGTTTTACAAACAGTTTTTTATTTTCTTTCAAAACCACCAAAAATGTACATAAATAAACAAACCTGGCATAAACTTTTCTTTTTCGAATCATCTATTGGCAAAAAAAGTGTTGTAAAATACCAGCATCCTACATTTAACTCAAATCAACCACACACCCTTAATGGAGCATTTGGTCAATATGCATTAAATCACTTAATTAAAGGTCTGCGTTTGGATGTTTATAAAAATTGTGCATGTTTATACAAATTGCACATAACACTTTTTTTGTTTTAAACACTTACATTTCTCTATCTTGTTCAAAGCAATATTAAAATGAACTAAATTGAGCATAGAAAAGGGTGTATTTATTGCAATGTCATTTAATAGTTTACATAAGCCGTGCCTTCTGGTGTTCTTCGTCGCCCGCGTGGCGCAATGGTTAGAGCGTCTGCTCTAAATTCAAGAAGAAAGGAGTCAATCATTACGTCTCAGGTTTGAATCCCAAAGTGGGACGTGCCAGGCGCGTAGCTGCCCATACGCAAGTACGCAAGTGCGTACACATCATTTTCCAAAAAGAAAGAAAGAGGGATAAAAGAAAAGAAGGAAAAAAAGAAAGCTCTGGAGAAATTTATTCGGGGAAAAAGAGACACTACCTGTGTTTCAAATTATTTTGCGTCTTATTGTTTCGATTCAAATTTTGTTCAGCATGTCTGCACATTCAAATTTAGTCCTTTATAAAATCAATTCCAAAAACATCTTTCAACATTCTTGAGGAAAAAAATATTGTTGAACCAAAATTTTCAACTGTTATTCCTCGTAATCCTGATTATCCGGACAAATATTTGATGAAAGAAAGCGATCTAAGGGACTTTAATCGAAAGAAAAAGTTACAAAGGTCTTGGACAACTATACCAATTTTTAATTTTTAAGATTTTTAATTTCCGTAGAGGTAATGAATAAATGTCGTTAAACAATTTAAAGTATGGTGAACAAAGTAAATAATAATATAGCTTCTTTTACTGATGTTACCAATTTAAAGAATTATATTATAATTGAAGCATTCTCAAATCGTTTCAGCTATCACTCGAATCGTTTCAGCTATCAAATATGAAGGTAATCAAAAGATAACAACACCCCTGTTTATATTTTGAAATATTTAAACTCCAATGATAACGATATTGAAATTGCTACTCTTTTTTATCTTGATACACTTGGAAATTTTTTTCCAATAACAAAATATGCGTAAATTAATTTGATTAATTATTGTTCTCTTCCCGAAGTATCGAAGGAAGCAGTATATAACTTAGCTAAGTGTTTGCTCGAGAAAAGTGATTATCATGATTTTTTTTTGCAAGAAAATGACTGAAAAATTTCGTAAAATCCAGGAGTTTCCGGGGGCTTCCCCCTGGGTCCCCAGCAGGGCTTCGCCCTGGACCCACTGGTGGCCTGAAGGGGGCCCCAAGACCCCTGACCGTTTTCTGCTTACACTTCATGCCCATGCTGGCTACGCGCCTGCGTGCAGACCGGTCCTACGGATGAGACCTAAAAACCGAGGTCCTGTGTCGCAGTTGGTGCTAACACAAAAAAGATCCCTTACTGCTAAAAGACCCGAGTGCAGAACAAAATTTGTAACTCTCCACCGCCAATCGTTGGCGTCTCCATATGAGTGAAAAATTCTTGAGAGGGACATTAATAAACATACTATTAATCAATCATCTCGTATTCTACCGAATCTCTGCCATACCGGTTTTCATATAACTACTAGTCCTCTATTAATAACTTTAACAAAAACTTCTCATATCATTTCAGCAGGTCGAAATTGGACTCTAAATTGAGACGTTCATAATTGATTTCAACCAAAATATGAAAAGCGTAAAATTAATATCAGTGGAGTAATAGCGTAATTTTGTGGTAAAAAGCGGAAGAATTACACAAAAAGCGGAAGGGTAAGCAGGTCTGCAAACAATTAACTTAAAGTGAATTTAATTTTTAACATTAAACAAAATGAAAGCAAAGAAAATTTCATTCCAGGATGCTGCATAATTTTTGGAAAAGTAATGTCTGGAAAAAATGTGGGGAGGAAGGGGAACAAAGCTCCCCACTCACTCCCCCCCCTCCCTGCATGCCTGTCACTATACATAAAATAGATACACAAATTGTAAAACATTTTTAAACTTTAGGAGATATGAACAAAAGATGTTTTTTTCTGAAGCCAAAGAATTCAACATCCCAAAGAAAGATCATTATAAAGGATACTTAATGCGGTGTGGATTTTTCATAATTTCACTCAGAAGAGCTTACAAGTCCTAAAAGCTCAGAATACCTACCCTCTGTTGCCTAGGTAACGTGCTGCGGGGCTGTTTCTAGCGATACTGCCAGCAGGGGATATGTGATCCGTGGTCACGGAATCTCCCAAGTTAAGTAAAACGTGGGCATCTTTGATGCTTTCTAGTTTAGCGACTTCTTTACCCTTTTATGAAAATAAAATCATGAAAAACCTTCAATGTAAAAATTGAACTCCATAGGTATAAAAAAATCAGTAATCGTTATTGAGGACCAAACCTTACCATGTTCTCAAAGAAAGGTGGTGACTTAATATAGGTTGACTTCTCGTCCCATGGATAAAGCATGCCTTCAGGAGCTACTAAGGAGTTCCAGCGTTTGTTTCCTTGCTGTTAAATAAAGATTTCAAACATTAATTATGATAAACAAGGATCAGAGATATTTTACAGAACATTTCCAGAGAACATTTTCTGTCTAGTGTAAGTTTAAATCACTCCTGCTGAAATGTGTAAAAAAAAAATTATTTAAACAATTTTCTAGACAGTAGAAAATAAAATACATTCTATTTCCAGTATGTAAGCATAAGAGTTCTTCGTGCGCTCTTTTGTGAAAAAGTTGGCAAATGTACAAATGCTTATCGGTCCCTGACAAAGTGTGCAAGAATAATTTGAAACCAAACCTGGATTCTTGAGTAGACATCAGTAAACATTGCAGGGACAACAAATTCTTTCTCCACTGCCTGTAATAAAATACAACATTAGCACACATGTAAGAACATTAATAATTTTATGAATGATACAGAAATTCTGACTAATTATGTTTACATTTAGCCTTTTTTTTTTAAAGTGAACCATTTTTATGTGAAGCTTAGAATATAAGCTCAACAATACATTTAATTTTTACCCCCCCCCCCCTTTACTCCTTTTCAATCTCTAAATGAAACAATTACTCCCTGTCTGTACACATAAGAAACATACTTGGATTTCTTCTCTTGTTGGCCAAATATCTCTCAGATAAACTGGCTTGCCTTCAGGATTAGTACCTAGTATAAAGAAAACCAAGGGACTTTGAAAATAAATACTGTAAATCACCTAATTTTCGCGACATCTTACTTTCGCGAGATTGTCATGGACTCTTGATAAGCGGGACAAAATTTTCGTGAATTGTGGTTATTGCTCTATATAATCTAAAGGATTACAATCATACAAGAGAATCAAATTTTGGCAAGTACACTGTCTCGCGTAATTACGCGAAAATAAAGTTCTCGCGAATAAAAATAGATTTACAGTAGTGCAATATTTGTAAGTTTTAATTGAAATGATTTCTTCACAGTCTGACAAATTAAATTCATTTCCCTTGGCTGCAAAAATCAACTTGGGATGAAATTTCTCGACAGCGAAACTCGTTTAGTACGAACAAAGACATTGCGAATTTACAGATATAGCCAAGTCATCTTGGATTCCCAGCTATATCAATTTAATGAATTTCTTATAGGTTTATAAAAAATTAAGGATATAGCTAAGAAATTTCATAGGTCCCTGTGACTTTGTTAAAACCGAGTTTTGCTGTACTTTTAAAGGTGTGAGCATCCTGAACTGAATTGTTTTTTTTTCCCTTTTAATCATTCAGTCATGGAAATTACTTTACACGGAAATGTCAAGTTAGATAAGTCTTACAAATAACTTAATGGTAAGTACTACAAAACATACACATCGTAAATTTGTTGTGTGTGGATAAAAAAGGAGGAAGACTATATACAAGGACAACAGAATCCACAAAGCCAAGTAAATGTAAAGGTACAGGGTAAATGTTAACATCTAACCTAGGGGATCTTTTTCAAAATCGATAAGGACGGTTCCAGCAAGGGCATATGCGATGACTAGGGGTGGTGAGGCGAGGTAATTAGCTCTGGTGAGTGGATGGATCCTCCCCTCAAAATTTCGGTTCCCTGACAGAACACCACAGGCTACCAGGTCACCCTGTAAAACATCAGAAAAGGAAAATAGCAAACAAGTAAACAAAATGAAACGTCTTCAGATCATCTTTTATACATAGAATAAGAAAAATTTATTATTTCAATGAAGCTACAGAGACTATTATACATTTGCATAAATGGGTTTAAAAAACATCTGATGTACTTTTCATAAAACACCAACAATCACCTCAGACTGTATTTGTTTGTTCTATTATTATAATAATAGTTGTTTTTTCTAAAATTAATACATTTTAATAAGTATTTCCGACACATTTTTCAGGGCTGCTGTTACTCAAAATAAACTTACAATTTCAATATGAGCTGTATTCCTGAGTATCAAAACACTATTATAAAGCTAGTTTTGTGCCCTTACCTTTTCTATGCCTTCAGACACGGGTTCAGGTAGAGGACCACTGTTACCAATACATGTCATACAACCATATCCCACAATGTCAAACCTGCCAATAAATTAAATTTCAATGAAGTAGACTATTAATTAGAAATTGAATGGAATTTTTCTTTTCAATCAATGTGATGGAACAAAAAGAAGAATATAACCTCAGAAAGCAAAAGAAATAGATAAACTGAAATTATCTGACCTAGTTAGTTTATAGACTTTTGAAATTTACCTTTGCTTATCTATGTATAAAGTTTCTCCACTTTTCTTTAAAGTTTTGACTCTTGTCCTGTTTTTTTTAAGTACAAGATGCTTCACTTTCCCTGATATTTTAACCCTTCAATGGCTTAGTTTTTTAAGTTTAAAGTGACTCCACTTTCCTGTGAGTTTTGACACTTACCCTAACTTCTCTAGGTAAGGGGTGACTCCACTTTCCCTGTGAGTTTTGACACTTACCCTAGCTTCTCTAGGTAAGGGGTGACTCCACTTTCCCTGAGGTAGTAGGTGACGACTCCACTTCCTGGAGACAGACTGGTTTTGATGTAAGGTTTGACACTTAGCCCCGCCTCTACTGCCTTCTTAGCCAATATTCCTGCAGGAACAAATTGTATGCAAATTAATCACAACATAGGGTACATACGATCCTCATGAACTTCAGAATAATCTTTGCACTTACATAAAACAGATTACTCAGAATAATATTATGTACAATATCCTTGGAATTTTAAAATTTCATCAATAAATGATACATAAAAAAATGAAAAGGAAAATAATCATGGAACAAGAAACGATGTACTTTAAATGTATGTACAGGTGTAACATCAAATACTGACAAAAGTTACCTATATCTAAACATTAAAAGTTTTCAGACATGCATAAAATCCCCCCCCCCCACTTACCAGCCCCCAGCATGACACTAGGATTACTGGTGTTGGTACAGCTGGTGACTGCCGCTATGACAACAGAACCATGTGACAGGATGTACTCTTTGTTGTCGAACACAATGGGAACTTTTGTATCCTGCTTATCAGTTGGTATTGCGAAACCCTAAAATGAACAGTTCGAAAACAGTTATTACTTGAAGCATTTGATAACATTGTTGAAAACTTCTATACAAGTGTAGCTCTCTTCTTTTTCCATTTCATAGCCTACAATTAAGTCTTAAATTGTCTTTCTTCCATGTATGTCAGATTTAAAATATATCTGGTCTGAGTGAAATTCTTACATTTGATTTACTAAATTTTAGGAGTATATTTCTGCCATCTAAATAGCTGTCCTTTTTCGTTTCGTATCACACTAACCCAAAATTGTGACAAGTATTGAAAATTTCTTCTTTGTAACTTAATCTTAATAACACTTCATAATACCAACATGAATTAATGTACACAAACCCAGTACCTTGAATCCTATCTTGTTATCCAGACAGGCCTTGAAGTCGGTCTTCATCTCGGACACGGCGACCTTGTCGTGGGGCCGCTTAGGTCCGGAACAACAGGACACAACAGTACTCAGGTCCAGTTCCACCACCTATAAATATTGGAAAAGTATTTTATATTTACTGAGAACTATGCCTCTTCTGTCACAAGAGAGTTCATATCAATTTAATTTACAAGTTATTTTAAATAATTAAGTAGGTTTTAGAATAACCCTAATAGCTCTGAATGATAGAAAGAGCTCTGATAGAGAAAAAAGTCTGCTCCTCTTGCAGGTGAAATAAAAAATTTGCCTCCTTTTTACGTTTTAATCCCTTATACTATAATGTCTTTAATTTCCTTCATCTTGTAAAAATGCCAGCAGGACAAGTATTTAGTTCACCCTTCACCTGTGAAAATACTGGATCCTCCTCTGGATTGCTGTAGTTCCTAAACATTCTGATTTCTCTCAGGAATTCCTCAATAAATTTGATTCTTTCCTCTGATCTCCCTGTAAGATAAATTTAACACAGAAATTGAATTAAACAGACCAGGACAATTTCCTGGAATCAAAGAGAGATAAATTTTAACTTGTCATATGAATTTATTCATAAACATTGTGTTCATGTGTTGTTAATAAGCATATCCAATCTCTAATTGGTCGTAAAATGTTACTCATGCATTGAAAATTACCTGCAGAGCTGCCAACATTCTGAAATTAAAAATAGTAAGGTGCCGTCTGGGGACCGCCTAGGCCCTCTGCCAATATCGATGTTTTGTAAATAGACATGCAATTGGAAAAATATGGAGAGAAATCGTAAGGCATGTTTTGGATGCTAATTTCGTAAGACTTAGGCCAAAATCGTAAGGGTTGGCATTTCTGTACCTGGGTATGTGTTTAAGGTTGCCATATTGATATTTATTTGACAACTTGCTGCAAATCATGCAACAGCTATTTACCTGTCTGTCTGAGGTACTCCAGGCTTTTCTCGTCCACTGGGAAGAACCCCACGGTGGCGCCGTATTCCGGACACATGTTGGAGATCGTGGCGCGGTCAGCGATGGACAGCTCGGACACTCCAGGTCCATAAAACTCCACAAACTTTCCCACCACTCCGATCTGTCTCAAGTGCTGCAAAATAAGTCAAGAAAGTTTAGATTCATTGTTTTCTTCCCATATCACATTTCCTCAATGTTCAATGGTTGCATCTATTATTACATGCATTTTAAATGAAATCCTGGGTGCGCCGACATAAAACTTTGAGAATTCTCAAAAAAATTCTCAACTAAGCTCTTGAGAATTACTCAGCTGAGAATTTGAGAATAAAAGAGTTTAAGGTTTTTTTATTTTTCTCAACTTTTTTTCATGATGGCCACTGAGTCTGAGAATTTTGTATTTGAGAAAATTCTCAGACTTGAGAACATTCTCAGACTTAAGCATGTTTTATAACAGCGGACCCTGTTTGATTGTCCAAGACTCTTCACAGGTTGTATATGTACTAAAACTTCATTTCTGCACTTTTTAATTAATATCTGCAAATATTTCTAGAATACCATAAATTTCTAGGTCATAAAATAAGTCAATCTGCATTTATTGCACATTGAAAACTTAAAATACATGTAGTTCATCATTTTTTTTCTCAGAAGTCCAGCCATGTTCAAGATGGAGAGGTTTACAAGGAAAACTAGTTTGAACATCAGAGATAATAATGCTTTCAGTTTATTTACCTTGGTAACAGTCAGGACAACATCAGTTGAGGTCACTAGGTGGTCCACCTTGCCGGTCAGTTTGTACCCTACCACCTCTGGTAACACCATACTGATGGCCTGTCCCAGCATTACTGCCTCCGCTTCTATACCCCCCACACCTACAAACAATTCAAAGGGTAGTACCCACAGAATTGATGCAGAAATATATCATTATAGTTTATAGATTAGCATATTTAATCATGTCCACTTCACATTTACCACTGTTAACAAGACGAAAATTTTTATATATGTGAATTAATGGCTTATATTCAGCCTTGTTTTGTTCTCCATCCAGCCTTGTTTTGATCTCCATCTTATTCTCCCCCCCCCCCCCCATTATAAGTACTTACCCCAGCCCACCACCCCTAGTCCGTTAATCATGGTGGTGTGGGAGTCCGTCCCCACCAGGCTGTCAGGGTACAGCAGACCCCCCTCATTGAAGACGACCCGGGCCAGGTATTCCAGGTTTACCTGGTGGACGATGCCTGACCCCGGGGGGACGATCAGCATGTTCTTCAGGGCTGTGGCTCCCCACTACAAAAGAAGGGACAGAATCAAAATGAGAAGCAACTAAGAATTTAAACAACGGAAAGTCCTAATACAGTATAAGTGATTTAGAGCAAACGTGCTTATAATGAATTGACGCTTACAGCAAAAAATATTTTCAATCACAATGACCCTAAAATAGGTATATTGCAAACTTTATATATATCTAATTAAGCCTTATAACCAAGCAGAATTGTTGGTCCTTGGCAGTTTGCTTTCAATGTGCTTTACTGTCCTGTAAAATTTAATTCAGTTGTTTTCAATAGCCTTGTTTGAAAATATTAGTAATAAATGATGAAGAAAGTCAATCTAGCTTGCTTTTTGTGATGAGTTAATTTATTTAGCTTGTGTTTTTGGATTAAGTTACGATACCTTTAGAAACACAAATCTTTCTCTATTTCTCTCAAACTCCAGCTCTTGATTTTGTTCCAGAGCATCTGCACTGTAAAGAAGAAACAACTCCAAGATGAAATATAAAATATATACAGCTATATAACTTTTCATTTATAATACATTCTTCATTTGACTGCACAAGATTTAGCTTTAAATTCATTCTGAATTTTCTCTTGTTCTGTACGTGCACATGCATACATTGCAGATTTTCCTGCAAAGAAAGTGCAAAATACAGTCATAGTACAGCAAAAGTAACACAGTGTCTGAATAAATGCTTTACTATTATAATTTAATATTAGAATTTTACTGGAATTTAAATAAAAAATATACAGGTAATAAAATAAACACCCCTTCCCATGCCCTGCAAAACAACAATAACAAAAAAACATTGTAGTATGAAAATAGAATTTATATAATTCAATCTACAAAAATAAGCATGCAAGAATATCAAAGCTGTTCACAGTTTATCAAAATATACTACCAACCCCTGTGTCTTCTGCTTGTGAAAGGGGCATATGTGATCGGAGATGGGAGACCGAGGGTCAAGACACAGGTTGCAGGTTGACCTCTGTGACCCCTGAACCCCTGAACTTTGACCTCCTCCAGGGTTGGGAGAATATTTCAATATACTGAAACAGAATGATAGGAGTGAGGTTACAAATAATAGCTGGATACATAATCAAGGTAAAAGTGTGGAGGTTTCTTACGGAGGAACAGTGCTCTGCTCGAGGGAGATAACTTTTGAATTTAAATATCGTTCACTATTTCGTTTGGTAGAAAAATTGACTTCTTGATTTTTTGAATACACACAAAAATTTTCTTACTCCCATTTTATATTTTTCTTCCCCTATCCCTTATCCACACTTAGGCAAATTTAAATGAGGCTGACAGCCTTATTTCATTTTAGAATAACTAGCATACTAGACAATACAAATCTAATGAGTGGGGAGCAAAGCAAGAAAACAGAGTGAGACCAAAACAAGAAATGTGTTAAGAAAATAAAAAGAAAGTTGCATGCATCTATCTTGAGTTATGGTATAAAATAAAATCAATTAATCTAAATGTAGAAATCTTCAATTTATCATGTATCATTTAGCTGAAAAAATTAAGACTCTCATGCAATTTTTGTTATCATTACATGTAGTTACAATTTGTAGCATACAGTAAATTCCTTTCATTTGCTTCTTAAAAGTGTCAACCATTATTTATTCAGTAGTTTAAAACTGATATAAATTTTTGAAAGCATATGGCAATGTATATTCATGAGGAATACAGTGCAAGTGCAAAAGAATAGACAAAATCTCTCCCAAAGGAATAGAAAAAATCTCTCCAAAGAGAATAAAAAAAAAATCCCTCCCAAGAGAATAGAAAAAATCCCTCCCAAGAGAATAGATTAAATCCTTCCCAAGAGAATAGACAAAATCTCTCCCAGGAGTATAAACAAAATCCCTGCTTAAAGAATTACAACATCCTTCCCAAAAGAGTAGTCAAATCCCTCCAAAAGAATAGACAAAATCCCTCTTAAAAGAATAAACAAAATCTTTTCTAAAAAACAGACAAAATCCCTCCCAAGAGAATAAACAAACTTCCTCCATTCGATCATTACCTGCGTGACACGTCCACCTGAATGGAGTGGTCAATCACCAGGTCTGCTGGACAGATGGGGTTTATTTTCTCTGGATTTCCCCCCAGTCTCTTCACAGCATCCCTCATGGCAGCAAAATCTACCACAGCTGGTACGCCACTACAGGTAAAACATAACAGATTTACAAAGCACAAGTCTGAGCATTTAATTAATCTAGTAGTAAGTAATTGGTTACATCAACACTTTTGTCAAGAATTGAAAGTATCTTTGTATATGTTGAACTGTTTGATAGTCAAGAGAAAAGAATCGGTTTTATTAGCCCTAGAAAATAAACAGCCAAACAAAGGCTTCATGATCAAAACGGAAGAGGAAATTATGGAGGAATAATGTTTTGCTAAGGGGAATAACTCTAAATTCATGAAATTGTTTAGGATTCTTCACAAAATATTCACCTTCAACATCAATCAAAATTTTGCCCCCAAAATTTGACCTAACTTTCTTTTATTTTATATCTTCTGCTACAGTGAGTATAAATTAAATTTTTCATTACTAAAAATCACACATTTTTTACCAGAGGGTGAGTATTGCCCCTTTTGACTGGCTTACGTGAAGTCCTGTAAGATCACCCTGGCCGGTTTGAATGGGATCTCCACACTCTGTCCCTGATTTTTATCCCAGTCCAGAATGTTCTCCACATCTCTCTTCTGCACTTGAAACTCGTCACAATTTCTCACCGCTGACTCCAATAAAACTCGAATCGAAAATGGCAATTTTTCTGGAAAGAAAAAGCTGAATCTATATTTCTAGTCAAAATTTGTTTTTTGAACTCAATGGGATCAAGAAAATACTTTGAGAATTTGAGATATCTTGGGTAAAGTACATAAATATATGTTATTTGGAATTTCCATCTCATTATGATCACATATCCATGGTTTTCGAGATATTGATAGTCTAGATACTGAAGTACATCTCATTTTACTGTTTTTTAAAGTGACATTCATAACCATGATAACTGAGGAAATGGTCTAAAGATGTTTTTCATGAATTTAAGCAAAATTGATACGGCTAGAGTGTTTTTCTCTTTATAGGATTGTTACAACATTATTGATTTATGAATGACTAAACTTTTTTGATGGAAGTTTTTCACAAGTTTTCATCATGTTCATTGGTAGATGGTAGATATAAGCAATGCTCTGTCCGGTAAGATTAAAAAAACACAACTCACCATATCTGGCATCTTTGAGATCTGCCAAATTAAAGAAGGAGAAACTTTTCCCATCAATTTCAACTTTCTTCTTTATTCCTTCATAGGGGTTTGTTAATCCTGTAAAATCAAGTTTGAAAATATTACATTTTACCTTTATTCAACAGTCCAATGATTATTATAACACATATCTTAAATATGATTTGAAAGGATTAAAAATTAGAATATTTTGCTAGTTTCAACCTTCAGACTGACTCTGTGTGTGCATATGTCTACACTAAACATTCTAAAACCAGTGACTTTTTTTTCTATCCACTGGGAAATGATCCAGTACTGGATTGTTAATAGGGGAAAAACAGCAAAGTAGAACAATTTTTTTGTCATTTAAACAAATGATCGCCAACGTTTTATTTTCGCCCCTTTCGCCCTTACCTAATTAGGGCAAATTTAAAACAGGGCGAATTCAAATTATTCAGTATAATTTCTTAAACAAAACTATGATTGGGCGAATTTAAAACAGGGCAATTTGGTAATACAGTGTGAAAGGGTGAAAATAACACAGGGCGAAAATAACCCTGTATACAGTTTTGAATTTTCTTTGGGTGGTTGTAGGGAAGGGGATGAGATTTCAGATATACAGTGAAACACGGTTATAGCGAAGTCCTGGGGACAAGTGAATTTAATTCGCTATATCCGTAATTCGTTATGTAAGTATAACGAATTCGTATAATCATATATAGCGAATTCGCAATATGCATGTTTTCCCTCAAGTATTACTACCAAACATGTTAGTGAAGCAAATATTACAAAACATACCTTAGATAACTAAGGTTTTGTTGTGAATTGAATTTTATATACAAAAGCTAAAAGAAAATAAAGTCAGTTCAACCTACCAAATTTTGAGATCTTTGAAAGTTCGTTATAAATAGTGATGGGGAATCGGAAAAAAATCATAATCGATTATGGGTAATAATCGGCTGGGCATAATCGATTAATAATCGATTATAATCGAAATTTTGAAATTAATAAAATTAATATAGAAAAGTTAAAACTTATTCAAATTTCTGTCAGACTTTTACAATAAAAAACATTAACTTACATAAAATATTCAAAAATGTTAATTGAAATTTCTTTTTTAAAAAGTGGAAAATAGTATTTTGTTTACTTTAAACAATATAGGACTATTGAAACAGAATGGGAATTCATTTTTTTTCATAAAGTCAATGCAATGGGTATTTTACTGATAATAGTGCCACCTTTCATTTAATACATGTACATATTTATTTCTTAAAATTAGTTTTAATTAGTTAAAATTGCAAGTTGTAAAAGTAATTATCCAGAAGTAAGACTTGTATTTATGATTATAATTACATTTAAAGATTGACTAGACTAATTATGTTTTCCTTTACTTGCAATATTACCGTTTCCTGGTATTAGTCTAACCCCATATTTAATCATGGCGGTAAAAGTATCAACAAGACACGGGATCCTTCCATGTTTTCAACATTCATCACTACTTTTATGCTCTTTGCACTTGGATTTGGTAATAAAATTAAAGTATGACAATTTTACTTTTTTGTTAGCGATGTCGGCGACATTTATTTTATAATCGATTAGTAGCATCGAAGAGCTTCTAACGACCCACAATCGATTTTCGCCAACAATCGTTCCATCACTAGTTATAAAAGATGTAAATTTTATTATATTTAACCTCAATGGGACTCAAAATCAGTTTGCTATATCCGTTAATTCGTTATATCAGAGTTCGTTATAACCGTAAAATTTTACAAAGATTTGTTAAGAATTTTGCCGGGGACCTAGAACGACTTCGCTATATCCGTGAATTCGCTATATCCGTGTTCGCACTAAACGTGTTTTACTGTATATATTTAACTAAAGTGGTCAGGTATATATTTTTAATGCAATTTCATCCCAAATCTCAAGAATCTTAATTGCCAAAAGAAAATCTCAGCTGTGATTCATTAACACTTGTAGGAATCTTCTTACAATGGCATGGTTACTGTTATGGAACTGTCTGATATGCATTTTCAACATTTGTTGTGTGTCAGGTCCGGTACAATCTCTTGATTAAGCTATATAGCTTAATTTAGCTTTATAGCTTTATTAAGCTATTCGGAATAGCTTAATTAAGCTATTTTATTATACTTTTTTTTCAAATGTGTTATTTTTTCAACATGTGCAAAAAGTCGCACCTTGGTGCAGTTGAAATACTGTAGAAGCAAAAATTTTCGTGGGGATAAAATTTCATTGATTTGTCATCAAAAATAGTTTTGTGGGCATTTAATTTTGTTGTTTTGAAAGTAATCCTATTCAATATATAGTCATATAAAATTTCGTATGGGATTTAATTTCGTTGATAATTGTTAACAACAAAATAAACGAAATTTAATCCCCCATGAATATTTGTGATGATACAGTATTAAACTTTGAACTCTTCTGAATACAATGCATGGAAAAATAACTCACCAAATTGCATCTCGACTCCCTCAGAGACTTTGTACTCCAAGTTTTACAAGTTTTGGGGCTATTGATGAGTGACCACACAATTATTTTTTGAATGAAGTTATAAAGGTGGTCAATTATGGCCAACAGAATAATTGATTGGTAACAGTTCAGCACAATCTGACAATGAGAAGCAATCATCATGATCATACTTACTCAAGCCTCACTGCACCCATATAGTGGACAGTTATTCAAACAATGGAAATTCATATTTTGCTTAAAAGTATTCAACAGCAGCAATGTTAGAACTTTCTATGATTTGGGTTGTATTTATGATAGTCCATATTTCATATACAGTGAAGTCGCCAATTCTGGGTCACGTTAGGGTGCTTCATTTATATTGTGTAAATCTGTTCAATTTATATTTTATGCAGTTGTAACAGGAAAGGAGTAAATGTATGGCTGGACCGGGAATCGAACCCGGTACCCCTGTATCTCTAGTCAGGTGCTCTACAAACTGAGCTATCCAGGCCGATATCCACGCCCTAACCATTACATTCCTCCCTCCTTAAATGGTCTTCGCCCTCGAAGACACAACCCAAGTTCTTATTGCCCCTGGCAGGACTTTCACCTGCAAGTCCAGGGGTGGTCAACGGCACCAAATCTGTAACAGGAAAGGAGAAAATGTATGGCTGGACCGGGAATCGAACCCGGGACCCCTGTATCTCTAGTCAGGTGCTCTACAAACTGAGCTATCCAGGCCGATATCCACGGCCCTAACCATTACACAGTATATGTATTGAAAGAGCAAATAGTGAGTCATCCAAACATTTTTTTCATTTTCAAAGTAGCTACACGGGAACAATATTTACAGGGGTATTTCAGCAAGGCCTAGCTTCCCCAGTTACGAATCATTTTCTCCATTTCCGGGTCATGTCACTTCACGGTCGTGTAATATTCATGGAACGTTTCGGAACACGATTTTTATGATGTTGAAATATAAAACAATTCATGCAGCTTGGAAAAAAAGTAAAACAACCACAGAAATATGTTTAAATTATTTTCAAAACAATTACAACAAAATAAACTGCAGTATGCAGAATTAAAAAAATGTATTAGGATTAATTATAATACAATTAAATTCATTTATTTAAAAAAAAAAAATGCATTGAAGGGTTAACTCGATTTTAATTTTTAGAAAAAATATTTTCCAGCTAGAATACTTTTGATAATCAAGGTAAATACATGGTTGCCAATTGGTTTTGTACATAGAATTTTGACATGTTCATGCCACGAGATTGTGTGACCCGCAATTGGAGAAACTACTAGTTTGATTTAATTATCGTTATTAGGGGTGCAACGATACGCCTACCCCACGATACAATACGTATCACGGTATTCAGTTCACGGTACGATACATATCACGATACATGACATATTGGGTTAAAAAGTCAGACGTTTGTCATCATATGCCTAAAACTCATGTCTTATCAAATGCTCATTACGCTAACACTAGAAAAGTGATAACATTCTTCGGCCTGTTAAATATGAGACTGGAAACACGTTTATTTGCCGTTTCTGCAGTTTCATTGACCTCATGTTTCGTGCGGAAGCCATTTTGAAATTGTAAATGACGAACCAAAATGGACGATTCGGATAATTACGGACCGATTGAACCGAACCGTGGTATCAGTTTCACGTATCGTGAACTGAACCGTGGAAAAATAAACCGTGGTATACCGACAAACGGTTTATCGTTGCACTCTTAATCATTATAATTTATTTGAGCAGCGATCATTATGATTGATTTCTGAGTTAAAACTAAATGCATTTGCCATACTTTCGAGCTCTTATTATTTATCTAGAACTTTTATATCAGCCTTTCTGCAGCGAACAAAAACGAAAGTAGCCTGTCACCGCAGTAGAAACATCCAAGTCTTTAATGCGTGTGTTTCAGACTTTCGATTGTCAGATCCTCTCTTAAAGTTTATATTCAAAAGTTTGTAATCAATTACATACAGAAAGACCAGTTCTTCATGACCGGCATATTCATTAAGTTTTTTGCGCTTAAATTTTAACAATATGGCATAAAATACACGCGAGTGACCCGGAATTGGAGACGACCCGGAATTGGCGACTCCACTGCAAAAATGGTCAAAATACTTATGACTTTTTGTTTATTTCTTGCAAAAAACATTTTTGTGAAAAACTGCATATAAATAGCTTTAACAAGCTATATTGAATAGCTTTATAAAGCTATATAACTTAATCAAGAGATTGTGCTAGACCTTGTGTATGTGTGTGTGAGTGTGTGTGTGTGTGGGGGGGCAGAGCTCCAGATAAGGTGCATGTTTGCAGAAATACGCATTAAATTTTTCAAAATACGCATTGAAAATTAAAATAGAGCATACAATTACGCATTAGCAATCATAGATACGCATTACACCACGAAAGTACTGCGTACAAGTTCAAGAATACAGGTAGGACTTACTTAATAATAAGAATTGAGGTTAACTCAGTGTTTGATTTTTCTCAAAACGAAGTGCAGTTTTAAAAGCTTTTTAGTGACCAAGGATATTCTAGTAATGATGACGATGATCTCCATTTCGGGAGTAAGAATCTGAGATTTTAGATTAAAATCAATTTCTATGTAGAAAGACAATGCACTAGGCATAACTTTTTTTATTATGAGTTTAGAGCCAATTTTTCATCTTCTATCTCAACTTGTCAAATTAACGAAGATTCTTTCAGTTTACTCTTGATACAATATCTTTAATGAAGGAAAAGTTATCTGTGTCTCTGACTCTATGGTACAGTGTACCTTGACCTATTTGTATTATCTTCCTTCTCAAAGAAGAATGCTTCCCAATCCTAGCATAAAGTCTTGTTGGTATTTACAAAATTTATTTAAATAAATGCAGGAACTGACCTTTGAAGTTTTTTCCCTCTTCAAAAACTCATACTTCGATTACAAGCTCAAAATAAAGGTCAAAACATTTCTATAGATATAAGTTATAAAACAATACCTCTTCAATCGTTTTGCTAAAAATCCAAATCTGCATTGATTTAAAAATCAGGGGCTATATCCTGTTATTTGCAACGCGTTGCATATAAGTTTTTACCACAGAAAATAATTGAAATAACGTACGTATACCGATCCTTATCAAATTAAATTCATTCAGGTATATTTGAGGTTCATTGAGCAAATAAAGCAAATGATAAGGTAATGTTTTTAAGGCGTCTAAGAATAATTAAAATTACAAGTATGAAGCAGATTTATAATATTAATTCTCTGATTCTGAAAAACGTTGCATGCAACGCTCCATAGTAAAATGATCGATTTCTCCATAGAGCGTTGCAAATAACAGGAGTATATATAGGGCGACGAGTTTTATTTTCCTGATATTGAAACTATATTTAAGTGTACATAAAGGGGAAGTTTCCCCGGGAAGAGGGTTTTCTTGGGGGGTTGATATAAGAAAAAATGGGGCTTGGCTATTTTTGGGGGAAATCAAGACAAAAAAATAGACATTTGACGGAATAAAGCGCTATTTTTATTTCGCATGCGTTGCACGCATCACTCCATAGTAAAATGATCGATTTCTCCATAGAGCGTTGCAAATAACAGGAGTATATATAGGGCGACGAATTTTATTTACCTGCTATTGAAACTATATAAGAGTATATAAAGGGGAAGTTTCCCCGGGAAGAGGGTTTTCTTGGGGGGGTTAATATAAGAAAAAATGGGGCTTGGCTTTTTTGGGGGGAATCAAGATAAAAATATAGACATTTGACGGAATAAAGCGCTATTTTATTTTGCATGCGTTGCACGCATCACTCCATAGTAAAATGATCGATTTCTCCATAGAGCGTTGCAAATAACAGGAGTATATATAGGGCGACGAATTTTATTTATCTGATATTGAAACTTTATTATGTACATAAAGGGGAAGTTTCCCCGTGAAGAGGGATTTCTTGGGGGGTTAATATAAGAAAAAATGGGGCTTGGCTATTTTTGGGGGGATCAAGCTAAAATGAAAACATTTGACGGAATAAAGCGCTATTTTTTTTTTTGCATGCGTTGCACGCAACGCTCCATAGTAAAATGATCGATTTCTCCATAGAGCGTTGCAAATAACAGGAGTATATATAGGGCGACGAATTTTATTTATCTGATATTGAAACTTTATTATGTACATAAAGGGGAAGTTTGCCCGGGAAGAGGGATTTCTTGGGGGGTTAATATAAGAAAAAATTGGGGTTGGCTTTTTTGGGAGGAATCAAGATAAAAATATAGACATTTGACGGAATAAAGCGCTATTTTATTTTGCATGCGTTGCACGCAACGCTCCATAGTAAAATGATCGATTTTTCCATAGAGCGTTGCAAATAACAGGAGTATATAAAGGGCGACGAATTTTATTTATCTGATATTGAAACTATATTATGTACATAAAGGGGAAGTTTCCCCGGGAAGAGGGTTTTCTTGTGGGGTTAATATAAGAAAAATGGGGCTTGGCTTTTTTGGGGGGAATCAAGATAAAAATATAGACATTTGACGGAATAAAGCGCTATTTTATTTTGCATGCGTTGCACGCAACGCTCCATAGTAAAATGATCGATTTCTCCATAGAGCGTTGCAAATAACAGGAGTATATAAAGGGCGACGAATTTTATTTATCTGATATTGAAACTATATTATGTACATAAAGGGGAAGTTTCCCCGGGAAGAGGGTTTTCTTGTGGGGTTAATATAAGAAAAATGGGGCTTGGCTTTTTTGGGGGGAATCAAGATAAAAATATAGACATTTGACGGAATAAAGCGCTATTTTATTTTGCATGCGTTGCACGCAACGCTCCATAGTAAAATGATCGATTTCTCCATAGAGCGTTGCAAATAACAGGAGTATATATAGGGCGACGAATTTTATTTATCTGATATTGAAACTTTATTAGTGTACATAAAGGGGAAGTTTTCCCGGGAAGAGGGTTTTCTTGGGGGGTTAATATCAAAAAATGGGGCTAGGTTATTTTGGGGGGATCAAGCTAAAATGAAAACATTTGACGGAATAAAGCGCTATATTTCATTTTGCATGCGTTGCACGCATCACTCCATAGTAAAATGATCGATTTCTCCATAGAGCGTTGCAAATAACAGGAGTATAAGGCGACGAATTTCATTGTTATGTTGTTTAAACTTCTGTTATAAACGAACTATTTTCCTGGAAGATAGTTTGATAGTCGAATATTTAAAAAAAAATTGTTTTATTCAATTCACGTGTTCATTATTTCAACTGAATAATTCAGTTGAAATATATAATGAACCAAAAAAAATGTATTTTCTTGCAAGAAATTTGGTTAAATCGCTAAAAAGGATAATAAAGGATATTTATTGAAATAAAATGTGATATCTAACGCAACGAATGCAGTCTTTTTTTTTTTTTTACAAATAGATGCAGTGAAGAGAACAATTTCTATGAATGTTAACAAAATAGTCAAGGGAAATTACATGCGATATAGAAATAGTTATTTATCAAGTATATCATAATTATGTCCTTCATGTGGCTTTTTCTGTAGAACCAAAAAAGATTATTTATACAAAATATAAAAAAAATTAATATCGAAATAAACAACATTCATATTGTGTTAAAAAATTAAAGTGATGAAAAATATTTATACGTGTTTCATCATGAATATTAACAAAATACTTAATTTTATGCAGTCGGGGGTTATTCCTCTACAGTAGGAGTTTATCAACATTGATACCATACGATTTTCTCTGCTAACTTTCGCTTTGGTATGAGTGTGTTATTTTGTGTTTTCCTGGTACTTTTTCTTTGCAAACTACATTTTAGGGTTTTATTTATTGAATTCGAGTTTGTGTGTGTTTGTTATTTAAGGATGGTTTTAAATCAAGCGTAAAGAACGATAATTTGCGTTTTCGTGGTACTTTTCCTTTCATAAGTATAATTGCATTTAAGGGTTTTGATTTCTTTTTTTTGTGCGTTTGTTTTTAAGGAGTTCTAATATCATGCGGCTTATTCCGTAAAAGCGTAAAATACGATAATATGCGACTTCCTGGTACTTACATTTCTTTTGCTAAATTGTTTTTGTGAGTGAGTGTGTTTGTTATTATGGTAGTTTAAAATCATGCGGCTTATTCCGTAAAAGCGTAAATTAGATCGATAATTTGCCATTTTCTGATAATGTTGCACTACCATTTATCTTTTCAAATACAGTTGAAGTACCCCAAAACTTATAAGCAACGCGTTGCAGATAACAGGATATAGCCAAATCAGGGAGTAAATACACTTTAGGGTAAAAAATTATCTGGAGATCGGGGGGGGGGGGGTCATCCTTACAAGCTGCACAATTAAATCATCATATTAAAAATCAAAATATACTTTGGTCTTAAATTTCGTCGTCGGAAACTCTGCACAAATATTTTCTCATGTTACTAACTTACAATAAACGAAAATTAGTGTACGGTCAAAGTACAATCATTCATATTACGCAAGACTTTGAAACTGGGTTCTTTAACTACTTTTCATCATCTGTAAATTAGTAAATTCTAAGACTGAAAGGCACCCGATTAAAAGATATTTGCATCTTAAGTATCTGGCTAAAAAAGGAAGCACAAACAGTAAACAACAATGCAACTTCAGTAGTAGAGACAGAAAATCTACCTTCGGTAGCCATTTTCCTTGTTGCGGAAGTCACGCACGCAATGCAAGCGCAAAATAAGTCGTACTAAGAATAATTCCACTTAGATACAAAATTAATTTATTTATGCCAAAAGTGAAGACAATTTTATAAATACGCTCTAACTCTAAGGTTTTGATAAATTCAATAATTATGGTAAAGGTCTAGGCCTATATTATATACCAATCTGAGCAATTAAATTATAGTTTTAAATTCATTTTTTTCGTACATGTATTTAACTAAAATGAATGCATTCTACATGTTTTAACCTCTTTCTTATGTTTAATCACAGGAGTTCGCGTACCTATCAATTTGACCGAAATTTTCAGTAAATAAAAAAAATACGTAATACCTATAATAATATTTTTATCTCATGTTACAAAATGCCGACTTTAAATAAAAATCTACTTTACTTACTTACTTTCTTTCTCGATCCTGAAATGAACTGGAAACGGATTGGATGATCGAGATGCACCCCCCTCCCCTAGAAATTAATTATGCATTTAAACCAATGGTGTTTATATAAAGCTTTCATGCTATTCTTTTAAAGACCTTTTCATGTTCTTCTTTTAAATACCTGGTACCTTTTTCAATACAATATTACCAGGTATTATTCCAAACGGTTTTTATAATATGATTTTTAATATTACTTCTTACATGTATCTCCATTTCGATCCATTGACACAAACTTATGTGTATTTTTTTCAAATTGTAAAAAGTCAATTTAAAAATCGTTTCTGGCTTTCACATACATTGGACATACAAAAAATTATCATACATGTATGTTCTCTCTACTTTACCACACAATCATAATGGACTTGAAATCATATTGAATAGACTATAAAGGTCGACCCCTTTTTTAAATACACAATTACACATGCATGTATGTCGAAATCATTGTTTTAAAACCATATATGACGTAACTGATCAAAAAAATATATTTTTGAAAAATACAAAATTAAGTAAAGAAATATAGTTAATACAATTAAATTAAAGCTTTTCATACAATCCTGAACACGGAGAACACCTCGTTTCATCTAATAATACAATTTTATCTTCTCTGTAATGTGATAATTAAATCTTTTGTATTTTCTTCCGAGTCAGAGAAAATTCCGAGAATCCAAATTAAATTGCAATATCTTTATAACGCAAATTGACTTAGATTTTGTAATTTACGGAAAAGTTCTATCTTTATATAAAGTAATGATACAAATATTAAGTTCTTATAATTTTAGTCAATAATTTTCATTGTACATACGCCATATATGGCTTTAAGAAGGCAAATATTTAACTGTGATTGAATTCTAACAGTTTGATTTACCAAAATGTCGATTACAAACATACAAGTCTATACATGTATTTAATTATTCCTACTGTGATTCGCCAATGAAACTCAATTCCACTCGAAATTCGAAATTAATAGTCTATCTCAAAATTCAATTCTAAAACTGTAAAATGATGAGTACTAAAATAGAAGCGTCTTTCCAAAGTATAAAGTTCTATAATAAGGTCAGGTATTTTGATAATAGGAAGGCTCAAAGGCACCTGACATTACTTATTTTTCTTTGATGAAAATATAAACCTTAGAAAAAGTAGCGTCAGGGCCCCAAAAGGGCCGGTAACATACTAAATTTATTTTAACATTATACTTAAAGTTTATGTATACAAAAAAGAGATCTCTTTTTGTACACATATAGTGATTACGTAAAATCAAATACAGTATGTTACAGGTGTAACGACGAAAAGTGACCCCCGTAGAATATTGACCGAGGATCATTTTTCTACGTAGAAAAATGACCCCTTGGTAAATATTCTACGTAGAAAAATGACCCCTTTTTCTGTAGAAATTATGGCCTTGGGTCGATTTTCTCCGTGTGCAATGTAGAAAAATGACCCGTAGAATAATGACCCCCTGTCATTTTTTTGATGCAAAAACTTTCGTTTTGGAGGTCCCCGGCCTTCCCATAATTATGCCAGGGAAACAGGCTAGGGATATTCTTGTTAGACGAAAGTATACGGGTAATAATCAAGCAGCCTTATGCTTTGAGTGTTAATTTCTGAAAGCTTTTAATTTTAAATAACAAAATCAAAGCTATAATACAATACCTTAGTGAGTAAACTTACCTTAATAATACAAACAGTTTTATACCTATATTAAAGAACAAGAGGCCCATGGGCCACATCGCTCACCTGAGAAGCTTTGACCATTCTGTTCTTTACCAGATTTCCTCCTTGTAATACATTATGTATCCCCACCCTACTCCACTGATCATAATTAAGACATTTTGAAATCAACTACCCCAGGATCCTTCCATGTGCAAATAAGTTTCAGCTTTTCTGGCCCAGTGGTTCTTGAGAAGAAGATTTTCAAAGATTTTTCCTATATATTTTTATGTAAAACATTGATCCCCCCATTGTGGCTCCACCCTTCCCCTGGGGGTCACGATTTGCACAATTTAAAATCTACATTACCCAAGAATGCTTCCACATAAGTTTCAGCTTTTCTGGCCCAGTGGTTCTTGAGAAGAAGATTTTTCAAGATTTTTCCAATGTATTTCTATGTAAAACTTTGATTACCAATTGTGGCCCCACCCTTCCCCCGCGGGTCATGATTTAATTTAGAATCTACACTACCCTAGGATGCTTTCACATAAGTTTCAGCTTTTCTGGCCCAGTAGTTCTTGAGAAGAAGATTTTCAAAGATTTTTCCTATATATTTCTATGTAAAACTTTGATTCCCCATTGTGGTCCCGCCCTTCCCCCGGGGGTCATGATTTGAACAATTTAATATCTACACTACCCTAGGATGCTTTCACATAAGTTTCAGCTTTTCTGGCCCAGTAGTTCTTGAGAAGAAGATTTTTCAAGATTTTTCCTATATATTTCTATGTAAAACTTTGATTCCCCATTGTGGCCCCGCCCTTCCCCCGGGGGTCATGATTTGAACAATTTAATATCTACACTACCCTAGGTTGCTTTCACATAAGTTTCAGCTTTTCTGGCCATGTAGTTCTTGAGAAGAAGATTTTTCAAGATTTTTCCTATATATTTCTATGTAAAACTTTGATTCCCCATTGTGGCCCCGCCCTTCCCCCGGGGGTCATGATTTGAACAATTTAATATCTACACTACCCTAGGATGCTTTCACATAAGTTTCAGCATTTCTGGCCCAGTAGTTCTTGAGAAGAAGATTTTTACATTTTTATCCTATATATTTCTATGTAAAACTTGGATTCCCTATTGTGGCCCTGTCCAAACCCTGGGGGTCATGATTTTAACAATTTAATATCTACACTACCCAAAGAATCTTCCGAATAAGTTTCAGCTTTTGAGGCCCAGTAGTTCTTGAGGAGAAGATTTTTAAAGATTTGTTCTATATATTACTATGTAAAACTTGGATTTCCTAATGTGGCCCCGCCCTGCCCCTGGGGGTCATGATTTTAACAATTTAATATCTACACTACCCAAGGATGCTTCCATATAAGTTTCAGCTTTTCTGGCTCAGTAGTTCTTGAGAAGAAGATTTTCAAAGATTTTTCCTATATATTTCTATGTAAAACTTTGATTCCCCATTGTGGCCCCGCCCTTCCCCCGGGGGTCATGATTTGAACAATTTAATATCTACACTACCCTAGGATGCTTTCACATAAGTTTCAGCTTTTCTGGCCCAGTGGTTCTTGAGAAGATTTTTTGATGACCCCACCCTTTTTTTGTCTTTTCTTGATTATCTCCCCTTGCAAGGGGATATGTCCCTTCATTTTAACAATTTAAATTTCCCTTCACCCAAGGATGCTTTGTACCAAGTTTGGTCAAAATTGGTCCAGTGGTTCTTGAGAAGAAGATTTTCAAAGATTTTTCCTATATATTTCTATGTAAAACTTTGATTCCCCATTGTGGCCCCGCCCTTCCCCCGGGGTCATGATTTGAACAATTTAATATCTACACTACCCTAGGATGCTTTCACATAAGTTTCAGCTTTTCTGGCCATGTAGTTCTTGAGAAGAAGAATTTTCAAGATTTTTCCTATATATTTCTATGTAAAACTTTGATTCCCCATTATGGCCCCACCCTTCCCCCGGGGGTCATGATTTGAACAATTTAATATCTTCACTACCCTAGGATGCTTTCACATAAGTTTCAGCTTTTCTGGCCATGTAGTTCTTGAGAAGAAGATTTTTCAAGATTTTTCCTATATATTTCTATGTAAAACTTTGATTCCCCATTGTGGCCCCACCCTTCCCCCGGGGGTCATGATTTGAACAATTTAAAATCTACACTACCCTAGGATGCTTTCACATAAGTTTCAGCTTTTCTGGCCCAGTAGTTCTTGAGAAGAAGATTTTTAAAGATTTGTTCTATATATTTCTATGTAAAACTTTGATTCCCTATTGTGGCCCCACCCTTCCCCCGGGGGTCATGATTTGAACAATTTAATATCTACACTACCCTAGGATACTTTCACATAAGTTTCAGCTTTTCTGGCCCAGTAGTTCTTGAGAAGAAGATTTTTAAAGATTTGTTCTATGTATTTCTATGTAAAACTTTGATTACCTATTGTGGCCCCACCCTTCCCCCGGGGGTCATGATTTAATTTAGAATCTACACTACCCTAGGATGCTTCCACATAAGTTTCAGCTTTTCTGGCCCAGTAGTTCTTGAGAAGAAGATTTTTCAAGATTGTTCCTATATATTTCTATGTAAAACTTTGATTCCCCATTGTGGTCCCGCCCTTCCCCCGGGGGTCATGATTTGAACAATTTAATATCTACACTACCCTAGGATGCTTTCACATAAGTTTCAGCTTTTCTGGCCATGTAGTTCTTGAGAAGAAGATTTTTCAAGATTTTTCCTATATATTTCTATGTAAAACTTTGATTCCCCATTGTGGCCCCGCCCTTCCCCCGGGGGTCATGATTTGAACAATTTAATATCTACACTACCCTAGGATGCTTTCACATAAGTTTCAGCTTTTCTGGCCATGTAGTTCTTGAGAAGATTTTCAAAGATTTTTCCTATATGTTTCTA